ACATTTGCGTTGTTTTCCCCGTGCTAGATTGCTTTGAAACTGGGAACAAATGAAACTTTCGTAAAAAGATATTTACCCATAAGAGTTTGTCAATAATCTTGCACGAGCTGCTTACATCATCTCTATGTACGTTTTAGATAAAGCTAAATACTTTTATAATTTTCGTATTTACTCTATGTGTAATTATTTGCTTCACTGACATGCTTATTAGTAACATTGTGTTTATGATCTTTTTCATTGTGATCAAGGAATTATCCTATATTTCCAAGATATTGTATACATGAATTACTTGTTGACTTTTTGAGACGGAAGAACAATACTCAGACAAAACAACTTTCAGATAAGAAACAGGAGCTCTTGTCGCTTCTTATTGCCATCTTTAACTTCTACATCAAGGTCAAAGGTCATAAAAATCAGTACACTTTGGCCAATCACAGTAGCAATCACCGTGAAATATGGAGTGGTAACTCAACAATACATTCAATATGTTTTACTACAATATTTCTGAATGTAACTGTAACCAAATAGAGTTTTAAACTTTATATCTGAAAATTGATAACAACATTGATCTTCCTGTTAGTTTATCATTTTTGAGCAAGTGTCCAGTAATGGTATCGTTTTATTAGAAAAACTATGGTTCACAAATGAGAGAGTAACGTAAACACCGTGGAAATACACGATAGCCCTAGTGACCTCATTTCAAAACGAGATTTCATTTTTTCTTTAATAGCTCTGACCTACATACTTCGTTGTTTGCCGATATGACGGATGCTCTCCGGTTAGATGAAAACTATAACTTTTCTGGACATCGTGACTCGTCTGAATTGTGTAGGAGTCTATATTTCGTTTTGTCATTTCCTTTTATTTAAAAATTTCGGCTTATTGGAAATTGTAATGATTCATTATAGTAATTGCCTGATAACTCATGGCATTCATAACCCAAATGGCAAAATCCGATAATTAAACGTTAAGGAAATACTTCCGGTGGTCAATATATGATAGAATATTAAAACCTTTCAGTTATCATTTGGTTTTTACTGAAGGTGTATAAACTGAACTAACATAAACTACCCTATGAATAAGCTAGACGTCACCAATACGAAATGGATCCGGTATATAAAAAAACGAAGCAAATGAGACCGTTATTGCTAAAGTATCACTGACTGCCAATGCAAATAAAATTACACATAATTGAGGGAATACAATGACTTCAGAGCATTGTTGAGACAACTTTGTGTATGGTCTTAATAGTCAGTGTTTGTTCGTTAAATTTATGGTGCACTCTATTCTGCAAACTAAATTGATACACTTTTACAGTCTTGTGTTGTTTTATACGCTTATGATCTGGTGAGAAAAAACACATTATATTAACAGTGTGTTCTAATGCTGTTGTTTTGTTTTAGCCGCGCATGGTGTACAACAAAGCAAAGCTTATATATATCAAATTAAGATAAAGATTTTCAAACAAACTTTTGACATCATGTCATTTCGTAGAGCATGGCAATACCAAAACAAGGTTTTTTCTCGGTTGGTATTGCGTTTGGAACTGTGAGAATTTTTTTTCAAAATTTAGAAATTAGTATATGTCGTTTAGTCTTTTATACAGAAGCGTATCAAGTCCAGTTGCGATCCTGAGAAAAAAATCTTTTTCAAGATATTGTTTCAAGTGAAATGCATTACAAGAGCAATGTTTGCTTGCTTGCAAATATCATCACCCCGCTTTACATCAAACTCAAATCATGAGGTGCAGTACGTTCTCTTTTCTCATATCTGACTTATGCAATGGTTTCATTTATAGCTCGCAAAACACATTTTACACATAAGACTCTCTCCAGGAATTGTATTTCTACATTTAAACCTTTCCAAGTTCAACAGGAAACTGATCGGCTGCCATATCTTATTAATGACAAAGTCTTCATAACGCTTCGATCGTATACATTTCAATACATATGTTAAAAGCGTCTAACTGCACGTATTCCTTTCAATGCTTGGACAATCACCATGTCGTCACGTAAGATTGTATTACATTTGATCGTGTCTGTTTCTTTTCCGAAATGTCCCTTGCCGATAAGTTATGAATAATGAATTGTCAGTAGTTAGGGTCACTTCTATTTGTTTTGTTCATCAGTCTTTGTCACAAAAAAGTGTACAGATACGTAATCTATATTTGTATTTTGATTGCTGTTACAGTATGTTGAATAAATAAAATATATCGTTTCTATGAAAGGGGAATAAATCACCCGCGAACTTTATGGCATACGTTGATACTGTTTTCCTGCATACTACCAACTTGTATATGCCAATAGATATTCTACGCAAACATCTGTTGATTGCATTACTAATCTGATAACAATTAATTGAATGTAATTTTGTGTCAGCTGCAGCGTTGCCTTGGAAACGTGTAACCTAAATAATCATATTATCTGAGAGAACCAGCACTCCAATGGCTTGAATGATGGTTTCTGGACGTTCTATGCATAGCCAAGATCAGTAACACGGTATTTGTTTGGCAACACGACATTTTAGGGACTATTGTGTTTGCTTGATTTCTTTAGCAATGAGAACCTTCTCGTGCACGCATTACTGTCCTATATAGTATCACGTGCTTATTGGTAAATGAATAGTGTTACTACATTATCAAAGTTGTAGATTTGGGGATAATACAATGTGTTCCTTAATTGCAATGGTATGCTTAACATTGTTTAGAAAATGTTTCAAAAAATAACGGATGTCCTATCATTCATAATTTGTTTTTTTTTTTTTAACTTTTGGTATAACACACGAACACATGTCGTTTATTTGTATCATCATAGTCTAATTTATTCTGTTACATTGAATTAGGGAGATAAAAGTCTACGAAATAAACTTAAATCGTTTAATCCTTGCAGCAGTAAAAAGCTAAAGTTACATGAAACAGAAGGCGCTTATCCTTCTGAACCATCCAAATTTATTTTCTTGTACTTTTTCAGGAGTCTCCGTGTCAAAGTTCCGTTTGTTCATGTGTTGCTTTTTTTATTACGCTGAATTGATCTTGAGTTTGAATTAAGATTCTTTTGTCACGTTGGTATTCTCGTTTCCTGTTTTTGTTTTGTGTTTTTGTTAAATGAATCCACGGGGAAACGCATTAACATCAATCGTCAATTGTTTCACATTATAAAAACACAAAACTATATAATAAGGTGTTTTTTCTAATTCTTGTAATAATTAGCATTGAACTTCCCTAGGGATGTATGTATAATCATACATCATACAGACAGGAAACACGTGATCGTTGGTGATACCAGATTTTATTTATCACGTTTTAACGTGTTAATGCGACAATCTCAACAACTTAGAATTCAGAGAGAAAAAACACGATAACAGCCTTGTTAATGCCAAACATCAGTTATACTAGTTGTCTGTCGACGTTTTCTGACAGAAAATAAAATCTGGTATACCAGTATTATCTCTCACATGCATAGATGACTAGATATCACAAACATAAATGACTAAATATCACTCCCAAAAGCAAAAGGATATTGAAGCTGTTTAAATAGATTTGTTCTTTAAAAGTTTGATTTTTACTCTTCTTTATACTCTCCTTTATCTTTCTTTGTTCTGTTTTTGCGTTTGATTATACTGAATATGAAAATTCCTCTCGCGAAATCGTTAAGACAATCTTTAAATGTCAAATCCAATATGGTCGTGTGTCGGCCATTTTATTTTGTGATCAGTCCCGCATTCATTAAGGCACAACTTGGGGTGAAAGGTGCAATTCATTTGAAATTTGAGAGAGATCCTTCCATAACTGATCTGAAAAAAAGCAAAAAAATATCAAGAATTGTTTTGATGACGGACGGGCCACGGACGCAGGGCGGTGGGCTAAAAATCCCGGTTTCAGCATCCGCGTGATTGAGTGAGTGAGTGAATGAGAGTGAGTGAGAACGCTTGTGACGGCCACGGTGACAAGTTGTGTCAAGTTGTGAGTAAATACCGTCAATAACAGATTACACCTACTTAGTCAGCAGAGCGATCGCCTACAGCGATAACTTGGCAGGCAAACAAAGGCCGCGTCTATTCCAGCCCCAGTCATCTGGCAGTCTGCCAAGTGTTGGCAGCTGGTGTTTATCTTAATATGTTACTAAAAATAGATAAGCTCGCAAGTCGTAACTAGGCTGTGGAAATTTTCGTAGGCGTTTTCTGGGGATTTTCCACTGAGTAGCAAATTTATATCACGTGATCTCCGTATCGTATATCACGTACGCGCGGAAGTACCAGGGCATCATATGGAACGACTAGATACTGATCACGAAGAGGGAAGACAAAGAAGACATGTATCCTCTATAAATTAGTTATTGAGGCTGTAAGTCAGTAAAAGTAGACATTCGATTAATTTCATTTGATCCGGCATTTTTTTCAAAATTAAACAAAATTCTAGACTTGTTCTAGAGATCAGGAGGCATACACATACTTAAAAATCTTTTGATCATGTGGCGGATTCCATTTAAATGAGTCATACTGAAAACGTCGAAAATGTATATGACGTCATAACAGGTTTTTCCTATGACGTAATCAGAATTATTTTTGGCGATCTGTTTTTAAAGATGACGCCATATTCCTTTCCATATTTGTTGATGACGTCATGTAAAACTATTTGAGACGAATAAATATTACATCGTAAATATCGACATTTAGATGTTATCTGATGTCATATTTATGATGAACAACGTGATTTATTACGACCAGAGACGTATATGATGTGATATATACGTCTCTGTTACGACACATGACAACAGATCTTTGACTTGACAAAATTCTTTATTGCAAGGCTTCCTGTGTGACAATGACATCATATTTTGTGGATATTTATTACGTTATGTGACATATGTGCCTGTTTGCCGCCACGAGCCCCTTGGTGATTTGACAGCCTTTGTTAACATAGATACCCCATGGCGGTCCTCAGCTTTACGAACCGGAAGTAACAATGTGAAGCCCAAAAGCCCAAAGCGAGACTGCGATAATGGCGGCATGTTCGTATCGAACTAATCTGTTCCGATAATAATGCGATTACTTCCTGTTTTCAGGTGAAAAATGGCAGAGGAGGTAGACTTTACAGAGGAGGAGAATCCTTTCAAATTGTGCGTGCTTTGTGCAACTGATTTAAAGGACAAATCTCCTAAATTACTTCCATGTTTGCACACATTGTGCAACCCTTGTTTTCAGACGCTCTTCAAGGTACTAAAACCTGAAGATTCGAAGCCTAATGGCTCGAAAGAAGAGAGTGAAACAGAAAAGGAAAATTCTAGTAAAACCGACGGTACTGGAGAAAAAAGTGGCGATGACACAACTACAGGTGACCAGGTTTTTGTCGTGGATCTTGAAAAACCGACAAATGGTGATACTGCCAGTAAGTGTTTTACACCGGGTTGACAGTATTTAGTTAGATTTGTAAATTTACAGACTGGACCTGTTTCTTGGCCATGTACTGTACGATTTATAATCACATGTGTATATGTGCAGCTGTTTCAACTTATTACTGATAGATAATTACACATGATTACAGGTATTAAAATTCTCTTCGTAAGCTACATGTTGATAGTCCGAAGTGATAATTTACGTACAATTTTAGCTAAAATAAACAACTAAGACAATATTGAGGTATATATTTGTATTGTTTTCTGCGCTCGTCGGACACTCTTCTTTGAAATAAATATTTGTACCTTGTATTAAGCTTCTAAATGTACAAGAATACAACTTCTACTTGCACTTAAACAATAATCATCACAGTATGGTCCTTTTGGTCATGTGGCATTTATAACTAGAAGAGAACCAGAGATTACTAGTTATCTGAAAGAAGTACCATTCAATTGCATGAAGTGTTTTGAAGTGCATATGATTGATTATATTTTCTTTGTATCAATATATGTTATTTTTTTGTTTTTTTTTCATATAGTATGAGGAAAGTTACCAATATCTTCCTAAGTGTTTTGATAGCAGTACTAGCTGAAAGCGTTTGTTAGAAATTATGTGGTTATGATTTTAAAACAACTGTTTATTTATAATCAGTATGGTATTGCTTGGTTGCTTCAATAGGTCACATTTGTATACTACAGATTTTTGATGAAGTAGCTGGTGGTTGGAAATCTCAACAATTTATTGTTGTTCAAAGGGGAATTACTCTAGTTTGTATTGTAACATGAATTTGCATGTCATGATCATATGCAGGAAAATAATTACTGATGAAATAGTTTCAGATCATAGAAATTGTGAAATGCGATGTTCTATTTCCAAAGTAACATTTGTATCCTGAACTATCCCAAATAAAGCCTGCCATCAGAATACCTTCTGACGTGGATGAGTTACTGGTAAAATCAGCTTTTGTGGTTATTTTATTTCTTAAAAGGTTTGTGTAACAGACATATTATCTGGAATTGTACTATTCACTAACTACTTGAACAATTACAAACAACAATTTTTGAAAGATTGCTTTAAGTGAGTCCAGAAGACCTTTTCCAATCTTGACAAGTAGCTATGAGATATAGTTGGTTCCCCAAATTCTGCAGTCCGACTAGAAAATCATCCCTGTGTGAGTCCAGGACACAAATATCAGAGTTCCAAAAATTACTGAAACCAATGTTGGTTTATTTGAGTCTGAAAAAAAAAAAAATTGTAACGATTCAACATAACACTCTAGACAGTATTGTCAGGACAATGAGATGTTTATTGTTTAACGGGTCCTTTGATCTTAAGCAAAAAATAAGGAATGTGTTGATTATATCATATAACATGTCACAGATATATCTTTAAGGTAGAACAAAAAAGATACCTACAAGTATAAGAAGCACAAGGCTACGCTCACTTTAGGTATTTCCAGAAATGTGAAACTAGTGGCTAATTACAAAAGTAAAAGATCATCAGATCTAGAGCTCTTTTAATAAAAAAATGAACTGGGGTTGTTCAAGTTAAGTGTATTTTACTGATGTGCTGCTAGCTTGAAAGTTTTATCTTTATTTTCATGACGAAATTTGAAGAATTTTATAGTTTGGCTTAAAACTTATTACCTGCAGCCTGCCAATTACTTTAATGGGATTATGGTAATTATGAATTAAATGAGAACAATTAGTAATCTAGTACACATATTTGTTACAGGGATTCATAAGTAAAGGAATGTGTTAAAATGTGAATGTGTGAATATTAAATATATTAAGTCCAGTGTGAAATAAAGTGATTGTCAATATGTTTTCTTTAAATGTTCTACATTTTTCTATTTTCCAGAAAAGGATAGTGAGAAGAACAGTGAGAGTTACACAGTGTCCTGTCCAGCGTGCAGTGTTACAGTTGATAAAGGTTTGGTCATTGACAATCTGTTTGTAAATGTTGATGCAGACACACCAATTGTGATAGATGAAGATGAAGAGGAGAAAGAAGAAATTCATAAATGTACAGCCTGTGATGAAGATGAGGAAGCGTTATCCTTCTGTCTAGATTGTCGTGAATGGCTGTGTGATCAATGTGTTTTTGCACACAAACGTGTCCGCATAACCAAAGATCATTCTATTTCACCAAAAAGTGAACTTAAAAAAGACGATGAACCTCCTGTCACAAAAGGGCAAAAAAGCATGTTTTGTCATACCCATAAACATGAACCTCTTAAATTATTTTGTGAAACATGTGATAAGTTAACGTGTCGGGACTGTCAACTCTTAGAACATAAAGATCATAGGTATCAATTCATGAATGAAGCAATTTCTAAACAGCGTGAAATTCTTCAACATGTGGTGGTGAAAGTAAAACAAAAGTTACAAAATTACAATCAAGCTGACAAAATACTCCAAGCTAAAAACCAAGAATTAAAGACGAAATTGGAAGATGTTTGTGACAATATCAGAAATGTGACTGATACTCTTGTTAATGAAATTAAATCACATTCAGAGAAGTTAGTGTCACATTTAGAGAAATATATAAGTGGTAAAACCAGTGTCATATCAGATAAACAGAGGTTAGTTAATGATGCTGTGTTCCGGATGAAGCATTCAGTACTGTTTGTGGAAAATGCTCTAACATTAGGTGATGACCTGTCCATTCTTTACACGAAAGGCTCGATGATGAAAGTCCTTGATCAACTATCCCGTACAGGCATTCCATTTCACCCAAGCATTCTAAACTATGCTATCACATTCGAACATGAAAAAGACTTCCTCCTGAAAAACATTATAAAAGTGGGACATTTGGTAATTGATGGCACTAATTATCCAAATACATGGTTAGGGGGTCATGGAACATCACAACCTAGCACAGTGCCACTTCCTGGTGCCCCTTTCCAGACCAATGCACCACACTCCCATGCTGGCCCTAACATGACTGTACCACACCGGCCAGCAATCCCAGGCTTTGAGAGTGTGGCCGCAAGAGTGCCACCTAATATATACAATCATATTAAAAATCAAGTGAAGAATTATCCACCTGAAAAACAACGAGAGATGTTTCAGAAAATGGTTGAACAGTACCAGCTCCGACAACAGCAGAAAGCCATGCAGCAGTTTAGACAGCAACAACAACTACAGCAGCAACAGCAGCATCAGACACCACAGGGCATTTACAGTGGGATTCTTGGTGGCTCCAACTATTCACAGGTAGCAGGGCAGGTACCAGTTATTGAGGCCACTCGTAACCTCAACAATATTGCCAATGGGGGCATGCAGGTGCGTGCTCCTGCCATGTCCAGTGCACCAAGCAGATTCCCTGCCAGTGGCGCCATTCACAATTTGGCAAGCATGAATGCATCCTACTATAATTCTGCAGCACCTAGTCGACCTAATGCTCCTGCAGGAAATCGCAATCAGCCGCCACCATCTTACAGCAGACCTGTGGTACCCCAAGGTATGAATGCATATGCCATGCAGCAGCAAAACTTACCAAAGCGTAGCACGGCCCCTGACCAGTCTGGATCGGGTGGTTACAGTGCACCACGATCGGGCTTGTGTCAGGAGGCATCTGGGCCAACGCAGGCTGGGTACCGCCAGAGGCCACAAGTATCAACTGAGGGGCAGCACCAGCCATGTAGCCCCACTGCTGGGTGGCATACAAGTATCTGTGATCTTACCAATAAATATCTGCCCTCCACGCAATCAGGCCCCAAAACATTTGAGCAAACAAGATCCCCAGGTAAGGCCTGCCATCTCATTGTGTTGTTGTGAGTATATATACCCCTGAGTCAATTAGTTAGCTACTCATTTTCCCAGGCATTAGTTTAACCACTTAAATCACCAATAGAGCATGTATAGTCAATAATACTAACTACTGTTTGCACGTTTTTCTGTCCCAGTGTCGTTCTGTAGCAAGGGAGAAAACTCTTTTGAGTTATACACCCTTTTTTCCACACAGAAATTGGCTGCATGTTTGATAAAATACTAGTGAATAGTCTAATTTCACTGTGATTTTTCAAGATCAGCAGCTGTTTGTCTTTTTCATGTTTGCATGCTTTGAAGTAGTCGGTAGAAATACTCACTAATACTAACAGTCTTAGCTGTAAATGGCAGGGCCATGATGCTGTGTAATTTTAAAATACTGATTAACTGTTGATATGAAATTATCAACCCACATCCTTTGATAATAAAAAAACCTTCAATAATTCACTTTCTTCTATTTAAAAAATGTTCAGTTTTCATATTTGTAAGTAGCACATTATGGATACATAATTTGCTAAGTGTCTGGACTCTTAGACTCTCAAAATTGAAATAGGTTCACACCAAGCATACATAGCTGTTGAGTACAAGAATATGGACAAAAGATAATTTAAGACATGATACAAAGGTGATACATACTTGTTACAGTGTTACCAGAGAGGAGATATGGATGGGGAAAAGGGGAGTTTTGATTTTAAGAAATGATTAACAAATATAAAGTCCAAACTTGGTGATGGCCACAGTTTATCTTGCTGACCTGTCAGTATTCAAATGAACTAGTTTTCATTCATACACACAAATTACTCATCTTTCTGCCATGTACACATATTGATAAGTTTAAAGCTTTAACACCTAGTAGACAAAAAAGTACCTTTCAGTTGACTGCTTCGCATGGAAATTGCTTTTACTGTCATTCATGTTTAGTAAATTTTTCTTGGTTTGTCATTTGAGGTCTGATTGCGTGAAGTTGTGCAGGCAATATTTAAATAAAACCGGAGTGATTTACAAACATTTTTCAATAAGTTGTGCATGAGTCCATTTGTTATTATTTGTATGAACCCATATCAAAATACAATGTTTCTTTGTTTGGACGTACTAGCAAAATTCAGGTTTTGGTCATTATTAAAGACCAGGCTTTTTTTGTTCACATTGTTTAAAATTGATAACTGCTGTGAGTGAAATATATAAACCCTGTGCATTAAAGATGGTCTCTCTCAACATAAACATCTGAAAAAATGAAAAGTGGACAGCAACAAATTGCTGTAAATTGTTTATCCTAATATATATATATATATATATGTAAATGTGTGTTAACCAGATACTTTGTCACAAGTCAGCCTCTCAGATCTAATGTAAGCCTGAATGTTGTTCATTCACAAGAACAAAAGCAATGCTGTGCTTCAGATTCATACAATTGTAGTCAAATGACGACATTTTGTTGTTGGCCTTAATTTTATGTTGAATAATATTGTACATCAGTATCTAGACAACAGTTACTGCTAGTTATTTTGGTACATCATGGACCAGTGTTCTCTGTTTACCGATTTTTAAAGACAGGTGGTTAATAAGAAAATATTTAGACTGAATAAATGAACACTTGGAATTGCACACAACATGTATATAAAAGTAGCTTACATATTGTTGTATTATAAGGTGTTTTTACTTTTTGTTAATATAATACCTGGTAAATATTTTTTATGAAACAAGTGTAACTATTGTGTGTAATACAAGGTACCATAATATACAGTGTGGTTTACACATCTCTACTGAAATCAAATTTAAACGTGACTTGATCAATGTACAAAGTGAACACATCTTGTTTAGTAAAGGACAACACCAAGTAAGGTACAGTTGTTGTAATGGCAGGAAAAGTTTATAAAATGGAGAGATGCCAAGGGATTTTATTGGTTCAAACAACTTGTTATAGGTGCACAGGCTGCATCTCATGCCAACCAGACACCAAGTCCAGCAGGGGCAGGATTTGACCAATCAGGAGGTGCCAGCCAAGGTGGGACTAGGGTGACCCCTGACCTTTCACCTGCTACCAGTACTGCTGAATCAGGACATGGGGGACAGGCTGTTGGATCAACTACTAACAGGTATAATACAATGTTAGAAAATGTGAGTCGTAATGTATCTATCCGAACATTTTAAGTTGGTACCATGCATATTAAACATAAAACAACAAGCATAACAGGCATTTCATACAGCAATTATGGTTGTCGGAGAATTTCGAGAAAATCCATATTGTAGGTGAAAACCTAGGCTATAAAAAATGATACACATGATTGTATTTGTTGAGATATGTATACATTTAATGTTCTTTTTTCATTTCAGTCATGTAAAACAGGAGTTTACAGAATTTCCTCCATGTTCCTTTTCCCAAACGCAAGCACAGGTAATTCAGAACTTCCAGTACTAGTGTTTTAAGGCGAAAGTGATTGGAGATGTGTCATTGTGAAAAAAGCACTGAATGTCACTATTCAATGTTCTCAATATTGTTACATTTGGATGTGTCCATTTGTCACTGGTTATATTTCTTTGAATGGGGATTCAAGCCAACAATCCCCTCATTGATGAAGTATTAAGCTTAGCAACAAAGGGACAAATTTATATTTGATCAGGTATTTCAGTTCAGAATTTGTCACTTAAATTTACCATCTCATTGCTTTCTGGTACCTTTTTATTATCTGAATATCTCCTTAATTATTTTTGTTTGGTATTTCAAACATTCCATTCCATTGCATTGCCTACAGACATATTCCATTGCCTAATCATGTCTTTTGTCTTTGAAATCTTCTATATCATTGAGGAGGGTTGTCCCTTTTTAACTTGTGGTGCACAAAATTCAAAGAAAAAATAAAAACATCTTTCACAACCACTACAGCTCCCATTGCATCAATACATTCAGAATCACTGACAAGCCTTTTAATAGGTTAAGGTAGTTTTTTTTTGTTTTACCAAAATATTCTCGAATTAGACCAATTCAATAATGTCACATGTATGTTGTCCATCAACATTAATGCCGTTCATTTGGATAAATTGATTTGTTTTAAGCTGGGATCAGATTGTTGTTTGGTGTTCACACTGAATTTGATAATCATCAGAGTCAGGACTTTTTATGGATTGCGTATTTAAAATACATCTTTAACTTTGAGGATTTTATTATGAATATTTGATATCTTAATCTTTAATATCTTTACCTAATAAAACTCTGCATAACAGAACTTCGCTGCACTCTTTACAGGGTAGTTGGATCTCGTAGTCTTTGAATGTTTTGTGTTAGGAATGACAGTGGTGATCTCAAGATAGTCGTGTTAGATTCAGGCTTGTTAAAAACATTTCCATTTTAATTTGAAATCTAAACATTGTTTTGCAGTCTGTAACTTCAACGCCATCAGTACCACTGCCCTCCCAGCCACCACCACCACTTGTACACATGAAGCCACCAGTGGCTCCTGTTGGGGGAGGCAAGACCATGCCAGTCCCTAACAATAATGACCCTAATGAAGACTACTGTGCTGTTTGTCAGAATGGAGGTGACCTGTTGTGTTGTGACAAGTGTCCGAAAGTTTTCCACCTTAAGTGTCATGTCCCAGAGCTAAACACTTACCCAAGGTACGTCCAGTAAGTCCGCCTGGTTTTTTTTATTACCAATTTCTTACATATTGGGATTCTGAAAGACATACTCTCTGGATTTCTAATCCCTAGTTTACACATTAAGAGATTCTATTTACTCTTTACAATGACATAATTACTCCTTTTCTGAACTAAGGATCAAATAAGCGTTGTCACAGTTATAATAAAGAAAAGTGAAGAGATTTTATTTAGAACTTTTAACTCTTAACCAAAATTGATTGATCTTAAAACACATACAGGTAACATTCTATAGAACAAATTTTAACTTTCAACAACCACCAAGATATATCTTGTTCATTTTGAAAATGGACGTGTGCAGACTGTTTTTTAAACTGTCCTTCAGAATCCATTGTCTTTGTATTTGTTGACATTTTGACTTCATAGACATTTTGTCATCGTCAGTTGATACATTGGAGGAAAGTTTTTGATTGTAGTAGTTGATTTGTTTACAGTGGAGAATGGAGCTGTATCTTGTGTGCTAAGGAAGATGACTTGTGTCTGACACATAAGGAAAATAAGGATTTTACCATTGTACCAGGGACTGGCAAGAGAAAGGCTCCAACAGGACTCACAGACAATGAAATCAAGGTAGGCAACAAGGTTAGAGGATAAGGGCTTAAAGGTAATCTCTTGTGATTTGTTACTAAAAGGATTTTTATGTATGTGTTTATGTATTTTATTTTTTTTCCTGGTTTAGTCATAAACAGCTATGTAGCAGAACTTTCATTCAACTGTAATTAAACAGTATTTCTGTTAAGCTTCTGGTCGAGAGATGCGACATGGTAGAATTTCGTACGATTTCCTGGTTATTACTTGTAGTGAAGGAGGTTCTTGAAAATTGCCCATAGTTGACTCCAACGTAATTGTAAATCCAAATGCTATGTATAGTTGTCCACTTAGACCTATTAATATCATTATTCTGATAGAACATAATTGCTTTGTATTTACTAGGCCTGTGAACGGATACTGCTGGAACTATACTGTCATCAAAAGAGTACCGTGTTTCATGAACCTGTCAGCAAAGCAGTGAGTGATTTAAGTTTTGGTTATCCCATATAGTCACTAAAAATGTTTACAAGGCCATATGTTAGTGAATACAATCTAAAACAATGCTATTGAAGTTAATTATACCTTAAAGAAAATCTTTCATTCAAGAAAAAAATCTGATGTGAAATTTGTGTTCATGAATTATTTACACCTTTCTTTATATCTATATTTGATATGATATCAACCTGCAAGGTTGTATTTGATAAGGTATAGAAACTAATTTGTCGAGAACAATTTTGTTTTTTTTTAAATAATGTAATATAAAATAAGGTGATATTTTATATTAACTTCTCATATTATTTATGAATTCACGAGCAGGTCTGCATTTCATGAGGATGTAGGTTTTATGTTTTGTGCTTAATCAAACTCCAAAATGTTTTTTAAAGATTTTATGGAGCAAGATTTAAGAATCGTGTCAATCAAAGATAATGTTACTAAAGTAAGATGTGTAAATAGTAATTCTGTTTTTGTTTATAGGTTCCCAACTACTACAAGATCATCACCAATCCTATAGACTTTGGTAAAATTAAATGTAAACTGCAGCGACAGAACTTCAATCACTACAACGTTGTGGACGAATTCATTGCAGACATGCTGTTGGTGTTCAGAAACTGCAGAACTTACAACGATGTAAGTTCCACGGCGCAAGTACATAACATCAAAGTAGGAACTGATTCAAATTCTGGCATGATTAGCTGGGTAGATTGGCCATCCTCCAGCTTGCACCAAATGTCATCTTTATCCGGAAGATAAATGCATGGTTTTAACCTGAAATTCAGGTCTGCAATGAAAGTTTTTCAGTTGAAAGTCAATTATTTGATATATAATATTGTAATTTGTAATGGTATAAAGATGGAACACCTACCAACAAGGTTTATTGTTTAGGAAAATATAATTAACATTTGTCCAGGGTTTGAATACAGAAGAGATGAAACTCCTGTCTTAATTGATTACTGAAGTACACCAAGTCGAAGTGTTTGAATGGCTGATATTGTAGAAGCATTTAAATTATTGAAGTCTATGTTTACTTTCTACTCCAAACATGAGGAAAAATTTGTAGCAATTCTTATTGTTACATTTTGGTGTTGTTTCCTAATTCACAAAATAATTTCCAATATTTTTATATTAATTCACTTGACACTGAAGCAACTCTGTTTTTCTGAGTAATTTTTTTTTTGGGGGGAAAAGTATATGCAAAGCTCACAACTTATTTCACTATCAAAACAAGGTAGGCAAATTTGGACATATTTTGTATGTTTTTCTCTATGGAAACAATTAGGATTGCTTTTAATGGTCCTCATTTGTAACTCGTGGGTATTTGTAACGGTTAATGAGCAGTGTAGTTTTTCATACAGATAATGAAAACAGGGATGCAATTTATCTTCCGGAAAACATGACTTTATAAGCCTTGCTGAACTTTGATGTTGTGGTTTTATTTTTGGTCCCAACTTCACATTCTCTTTAAGTGAATGCTCTTCAGGTTATCACTTTTTATTTCACTATTCAATATCTTTTTTTTATGGGAGTGTTTATGTAGAAGTTTAATTTTACAGTTGATTTTGAATTTCTGTTTGGTGTGTTTTATTTTTATACTAACATGTATTATTTTCACATATGGATAATACAGACATGTTTTATCTGTTTTTTTTTTCATTTAGCATCAAAGATTGTTGAAGGGGTCATATTGTATCATAGACTCAAATCTTCCTTCTTTGTTTGAAAGTCTCTTTAGATGGAAGGGTTAGCTAATCATGATGAAAAGCTTGTACACAAACTAGATCACACTTTTCAGTTCTCATATTTCAAACTGTTGCAGATTGAAAAATGGATAAAAATGTGCAGGACATTTCTGATTTAATTTTCGGTATAGCTGAAACTCAATCGATTAAGATTTTGTTTAAAAATTGCTGATGAAATTATCTTTGGTATCATATTACATAAGTAATCTACTATGGTAACTAGTTCAAAGTAGTTTAATTTCCAAGATGATAGAAAAATATACTACTACTAATTTCTGAATGAAATACTGTTTCAAATATTTATTTACTTTCTGTTATTGCATGTTCTGAGATCCTTACAATACGTGTTTTGTTTTAGATTCAAAATAATACTGCATTAATGATTTGTTTTCTTTACTAAAATATCTTACTAATTTAGGCTATATTTGATATAAAAATCATTTCAAATGTAACATAATCATGAACATATTCCACCTATTATGTAACAGCATGACCTGAAGTGTTACCAGGATAATGGAAGACTGCCAAGTCTTTTTTTTTTTTTTAGTTGTGCTGTGTCCAATCTGAATATTGATGAATTATCACAGTCAACAGTAGATATCAGAAAACAAACAGTAACATTTTGGATTGATAAATTGAGCAGTGTTCTGAAGTACAAAGTCGTGCATAACTGAATTAGTGGTTTAAAGGTTTAACTTGTTTAGTTATATTCTGCTTAGTACCATTTATGAAGAAGAGGATTTATGTTCCTGGATAAATTTGAAATTGTCATGATTTAGTCTGCTGTAGCCTTCTTTCCCTTGTATTTGAACTTCATATTAATGTTTGTCATTAACTTGACACTATTCTGAAAAAAATCTGCTTGCGGACCTGCCCCTGTCTTGCCCCTGTCACATAACCTTTAGGTTATTCTAGATTCTAGTAAACATCTTGACCCCACCCCATAGACTTCAAGTTTTGTTTAGGAGAATTACTCCTAGTAACCCATATCATTTAATTGATCATTTGCTTAGCTGTAATAGGGAGGAAGTAGAGTCCTGTGTCTTAATTTGCTAAGAACAGCTGTTAGTTACACTTGACCAACCTAGCAGTGCTTTGTAACACTTGGCCTTTTTCAGAAAACTTGCATCTTCTTGAATACATCACAAGAACATCAACAACAGATGCACCTGTGAGAATGTGTGATAGATTACAAAACCGACATACTGTTTTCTTTGCAGGCAACTTCAGAGATCTGGAAACATGGTAAGATGGTTGAAGAGGAGTTTGAGAACCTGGTACATCGCTTCCTCCCCTGCTACGTGGATGTTCTTGATGAAGAAAGAGAACGCCCAGCTGTATCAACTTCTCCACAGGATCCAGCAGCCAAGAAGAAGCGATCAGAGGAATCTGCAGTTCATTTTTTCTAAGTTTTCATAAAAAATAAGGGTCTACATTTCAACATGGTGATATTGAAAAGTTGATGAGTCCTCATGTATTCATATTCTAGCTGTCTCATTTTCATGGTTGTGTTGTTCTTAAGCATTTACTGACTGTTGAATTTCTATAGTGCTGTTTGTGTAGATGTGCTGTAGAATATTTATAGGCCAGTAAATCCATGTTAGCATTGAAACCACATAAATGTAATGAATTCCGATCTAACTGTAGTATTTCATGGGTTAAAAACAATATCAATACCTGTTATGTGATGCTGTGCACCTCATCTAGAGGAGGTAACTTTGAATGGTCCTATTGTTTAAAAGGAAGTATTTCCAAAACTGTCAATTTTAAAATTGTAGTAACAATTTAATTTAGGGGTTGTCCACCCTATGTTTTTCTTGAAGAAATAGGTACATTACAAGCTGCGCACCTATACCTTGTACCTGGGCATTGTATCAAGTGACATTAGTTGGCAATCCTCTGGCCTTTGTAATTTCATAGTCTTTGACATAATTCAGAATTTACCATCTTCAAATGTCTTGTGATGTACAAACAGAGGGCTGCTATTTGTAGAGTTTGGGCTTGACAATAGAAGAGTATTGAATTAGGAAATCTCTGGAGTATAGTTCCTATTTGAAGTTTGAATTCAGTTGGCTTGCAAGCTTGTCACGTTAAAGTATATTTAAACAAATGGACAAATGATAGGTAGTGTAGTTATTTATTTTGTAGGCTGACCAATATTGGCTCCAGGAGTCGGATATCAAGAACCAAAACTGATGTACATACTCCATTATATAACCACTCTATTTATTTACGACCCTTTATAAACTTGATAAAGATATATGTTGTTGAATGAAATTTCTTGAGAAACACGCAATACTTGGACTGAATTCAGATCAAATTGTCTGGTATGTTGTCTTACACAATACATTACTCAATCATGATGTTGTTAGGTGCAAGAAATTAACACGTTTTCATACTAATTGTCATGTCTTGACAGAAATGCACAAAAGTTGTCGTACAAATGGATGATTTATAAACAGTTTGAGATTAAATGTCACTGCTTATTTATATAACAGGTGTGTGCAAAATTAGGGTATTATATATTATATACATTTTGCAGACTATTTCAAAGATATACATGGCACACAGAATTCAGAATGTAAATATCGACAAATTCCGTTAAATTTGAAAAGAAATGTTCAGACCTCTCAGGAACATAGGTACATGTTTAAAAAAAAAGATGCATATTAAACAGTGCCCTTTCATCTTGTAGCAGACTTTTATTGTGAAAAGTTGAACCCTGCATTTTAGACAACTGCTGATACTGATGAAGTTCATGTGATCAGTAATCTATAGATCTACAGCCCAGTCAAATAATTGATTAGTGCTATCTCTGTGTATAAGTTAGACACGGAATGTTAATTACAAAACGTTGTATAAAAACTAATTAAGTTATAGTGTGAATGTGACTAGTTGGAGAGGTGTGTTGAAACATGTACATCCAGTTTACCAAAGAGTAAATAAATGTTTACATACATTTTATTTACAAATTTGAATTGCTCTCAGCCTTTACTTGTTTGATTCAAACTTTTTGATTAAATATGTTACTTAATCAACTGTAGTGTACAGGAGAAATCTTTTAAACCTTTACAACTTCTATACACAGCAGTTAGTAAAATTCAGCTCTGTCAATTCACAGACGGCAGAATCCATATTATCCCTACTTGTGTAATGCGTAATCATCTTGAGGCCAGTCTTAATTACAAGTTGAATTTGAAGAGTATCCATTAAGAAGATTTTGGCTGGGGAAAGTTTTCATGTGGAGAATTATGGATTTTCACATGAAAAAGTAATATTAAATGTATTTATCCTTGCATAATTTTGCTGTTGACACTGGGAATGTTGCAGACGAGAAATTACCCTGACATTGCAAATGATGTAACAGATGTAGTAAATTTCTTCCATTACACAATGTATGTATGACCATGTTACTTGCATTTGATGATGTCTGTTTATTTATGTCACTGTGATGTTGAAATATTTTCTGATGTATAGAACGTACTCTGTGAAGTTGTGCGTGCGTAATGTCCTTAACATACCACCGGTTTTGCAAATGTGTCTGCCAGTTATATGTCTGTTTTTTGTTACTGATGTACGATATCCTGTAGAAATATACATACTTTGTGAGGACAGGTGTGTATTAAGAAATATCCAATTGTGTTCTGTAAATATTTTAAGTCTTGAAGGAAATATGTGACTAATGAATATTTTGCCATGTTTAATTTTGATACTTTCATGCAATTACTGTTTGCATGATCCACAAACATGACTCATAAAAAAGTCAAAAGAAAAATTTGGTGTTATTATTTTTTGATAATATCTTGCCTTCTACAGATTCACAGATTGCATTTTAGGACTTTAGTTTAATTGAATGTATTTTACATGTTTACATGAAAATTTGAGGACGAGACAAAATCAAAACAATATACCACTCTTCGATGCATCGGGGCCCAAGCTCAATCTAGTGAACCACTATGAAATTACTCTAACCATACATAGTGTTAGATCTGTCAAATCTGAGATAAGTCTTGGTAAATAAAAAATGGTTTCTGAGCTTTTTGAAGCCAGGACGCTTAACCTCAAGTGCCTCTACACGATGCGGATGTGACGAATTGCATTAAATGGACTAAAACAGTCTTTGATTCTGACAACACATATTCTTGTAGAATGTTCGTGATCAGCATGATTTAGAGTCATTGAACGGATACAAATTTGATCGAAAATTATAACACTTTAGGAACTTGGGGAAATCACAGAGCAAACGATAAGAGTCCCGTAAATCCAGTTTCAGACCTCACAAACTTGCCAATGGCTAGGATGCAGTTTGTATAAACGTAACCGTCATGCCATTTTCGGTTGAGTGGCGTTGTGTAATTGTCGCACCCATTGTACAACATTTGTTTTAAGAGCATGAGAGGCAAGTCTTTCCGAGTTGTTTTCCGAAGTCGATCGGTGATTGAACCTCCCTGGACGAAGCCATAAATATGAATGACTTAACGTGTGCCTTAAGACGGCAGGAATTATCATTTGTATATCAACAATTCGAAAGGCTGAAAAATGGTTGAGCATGGAAGGTCTGCATAAAAATGTGATTTTGAAGTGTATGTTAAGATTGTCCTTTATGAAGCTCACTGACATATGGGTCTTGTACAGCGTTACAAGCACGGCTGTGATTTTCAACGTCATATCATATCCATATTCACTATCATGAGGTGTTCTTTGAAAATCCCCCCCCCCCCCACATCCCATATCACATTGTAAATGTAATATGGGATGTGGTAAAGAGGGGCTCGTGGGGACCGAAGCCCGAAGTTACCGAAGGATGTAACAATGGATACCATTCAGTTGTGTGAAAAAGAATATTTTCATTGTTTTTGACTTATGACATCACACGAAAATCAAGAAAATACATAAATCCATTCAAATGGTTATTTCATCTTCAATTAAGATAGGCCCTCACTGACGAGTAATAAAATAATGAGACGGATGAAGCTTAATTCATTATTTGGCTCAGCTGTATCTCATTCTTAATTCATATAGAAAGTACTATTCACTCGTTGGTCTTGTGTGTAATCTTTCATACAGTTCATAAAAATCAAAGAAATGATACAAAGAATCTGCCAGATAGTTGTTATTCCTTTATTTTTTTAACAGAATGTACAATACAAGACATATTTATACTTCTCTGTTTCAGATGTCAACGCATTCTCTGTTTATATCGGATAAGACAAATAAAGAAAACAATGTATAGAAAAAGACGTTGAAGGATTGAACAAATGACGAACAGAAATATTTTTAGAAAAAAAAGGAAACAAAGAAAAAATTAAGTTTTTTTTATAAGTTTTTGATAGCGAATCTGCAACTCACTTTCTCTTTTGGTAAAATGCCATTTTTACGCTTTGTATATCTTCAAGCTTGTTGTAAATGATTAAGGGATTTGATCTTTTATTATGCTTTGTACACATATAAAGGTGTCTTTTTACCTTGTATCGACTGACAAATGTTTGTTAGGATACCGATCCCGAAGAAGTCTATTTCCCTATTTTAAAATTTGTTAAGTAAAAAATTCAGTTACTTAATTCGATGTTTTGTTTCTTACTGAGTTTGAAATCCTTATCTTAGAATATCAAGATACATTTTGTTTACTTTTTCTCCCCTTTTCATACTATAATATATTTTTCAAATTTCTATATTTATTTCTAGTTTTATTGCCTTTGATATTTCAATTACTGTTTCTGTGTTGGAATTTTGATCGTTTTTTTTCTATATGAAGCTAATTTTTAAAGTGGTAACTTGGACCGAGTAACGCTGATCAGAAAATGAATACAAATATATGTAGACAGCTGTCAAACTTATTAAAAAAGATACAAATGATGTCATGATCGTAAGACCCGTTTCTATTATTTTCAGTAAAATAAACGTATTCGAAAAAAATCAGTATCAAAGCACTTGTGAATGTTAATGTAGACTTTTAAAAGCAGTTTTCCACTTAACATGGTCCCATATAAGGTAGCTGTCTGAATTTTTAAGTTTTACTCAAACAACTTTCATCGTCTTTCGTACCAATAATGCAAGTTGATATATATTTATTATTTTACAATCCTATAATCGAAGTAGGATGATAATAATGATAAATACGGAAAGTCGTCAGGTTCCTGTCTTCAATGGCAGAGAATGTCTTTAACTGCTGTTCGTTAATTGTGCCATTGCCCCTTCGCTGATCATAGTGAACTTCGTTTCATTAAGGATGATGTGTTTAATTCATGTGTTATATTAACATTAGAATGTTGCGTGTGTTATGTTTGATAGGATTATTTGATACACTATACACTGTACATACTGTTTTTCACGTTGTATTTTGTGTTGCACACATTGCATTGAAAGACCACGAAAGCTGAGAAAAATTGAGCATTTTGTAAAGAAAGCACAAAAAACCACACAGAAAACCACACAAGGCACATGCAAAACTGATCGTTTGCTTACATATAAACTGAACTCCGATCTGAGTATCGCTACAGATACTTCCTCATCAAAACGATGGCACATCGTTTAACAACACCCAGAAATATCAAGATGTCCAGTAAGGATGATGTTATACAAGTACATAATCATTTTGGACGCAATCCTCTAGAACATATAACTCGTTGTTTGACATGTGAGTACTTACAATACCCTCCAAAACTGTTTATGTCATAATTTTTCTCAGATCAGTCTGTACACAATCTTTTGTCCTCCTGTCCTTCTTGTCATGGCAGCATGTTTCGGAACTGATGCCGCTTTCTTTGCTGTTTTGGCTGGTATGACTCATTACGCTGTGTTTCTCGTCCAGAGTTGTTTCCCTTACGTCGCCAGACTGCCTGTCATCTGTATGAGCGTTGCTAACATAAGACATTGAACTGAGTTGTCTACACTGTTTTCCAGACTGAGCAATACTTTCCTGATACTCCAACATCTCATCTTCGTCCTCGTAAGCCGAGTCCCTGTTGTTGTTTTTCAGCAGTATATACCCCTCATGACGAGACGACAAACTCCGACGTTTGCATGGGGATAATCGAAAGTCTTTTGATGAACACGGCAGTTCGATTAGACTATTTGATTTATACGAAGGCATATTTCCTTCCAGATCAAGGGAGTTGCGCCAAAGAAATGAAAGGTGGGATGATTTTCTCCATTCATTGATGTCTGATTTTTTGTCATGTGAGTCACTCTGTACTGGAAGCCGTAAAGTTGGTTTAGTTTCTGAACTTTGTACATTTGGTGCTGAATTACCATGCTGAAGTTTCCCCGAATCGAAATCCGTGACAACATTTCTTAATTTTTCTTTGTTCTGACGGTATTTAGCAAACAATTCTTGAGCAGTGACATCCTTTTTTACAATACCATCTTTTCGAAAAGAACGTTCCAGATCACATTCACGCGAACTTTCCAGCACTGTCTGTATGTCAAGGCCTTCTCCACCAGTCGTAGCAGACGTCCCGCGGGTAGCACTGCCACGGCGTCGCGTATACCTCTTTATGCAGTTAACCTTTGGTTCATCGCCTAGAGTTGAATCGTCTGATCCACTTTTCATGTCTTTTCGGTCAAAATGAATAACTATTTGTGATTCTGATCCTGCTAATCCGACAGATAATCGTCTTTTCTTATCACCACCCATGTTTTCCATCACGTCTTTACCAGGTGACGAATCACGACGAACGAAAAGCCTTGTGGTAGGAGGGCCCTTGTCTTCACTAGATACAGACATACCGCCAAGCAAACTATCTCCAGACTGTTTCCGGAAGTATTTGCCATCAATGCCATGTGGACTAAGAAGTCCATCCGGACTGCTTACGCCACTATATGAATTGCTACAACTGCTTCTCTTCTCTGTGCCCATTGGGCTGTGCAGCTGTAGGTGTCGCCATGACGATCCGCAGCCGAGTGATACTCTACGACTATTTAGGCTTGAAAGACTTCTCGATATGGACGATTCTTCAATCCGTTTGCATAACTTGACACAGTCACGTTTGAATTGTTTCGTAAATATTGCATACAGGAATGGATTTGCACAACTGTTGAGCGGCAAGACAAATATGGTAAGAATTTTAGCTTCATTCAGGCTTATAAGTTCACTTCCGAAAGCAGCTGTCGCAGAAAACAGAATGATAGGCGACCAGCAAAGAAAATCTGTGAAGATAAGAATGGCCATTCGCTTGGCAACACGGAAGTCTTTAGTGTTCCACGCTTGTGATCCCAGTATTGAAATATAAATTTTGATGTAACAGGCTATGATAGCGATGAATGATATAGCGTTGAAAATCATGATGAAACAGACGTAAGCTGTAAAATATGAAAAGGTAAAAAAGTTTGAAACCAAAAAGGAAAATAAAAGATGGTGATTATTGTAAATATTTTTCTTTCAAAAATGACAATCAGGTTAAAAATCACTGCGACAATTATATCATTTTTGCTGTAAGGTGAAGGCAATGACAAGAATATTAGTTAATCTAACCATTGAACAGTTTTTCATTTTGCATTCATGCACATAGGCGCAAAATTGAATCAAGCGCATTTTGAATTTGCCTTTATCAACTTGGCATACATATGTCCATAAATGACAAATGGATGCAGGTCAATTATTATCTTTATCATTTTCAATTTCCGTCTTGTAACAAGAGGAGAAACCCTCATTCTGTTCACATTATTTGCAATATTTCTACGCTGGTACAGTCCATGAGCTAGTAATACACATCTGATTAAGGTTACATCTAAGTGATGCCATTTAATGGTAAATATTAGAAGATGAACACCCAAACAAGAAGAAGATATTGGAATGTGGTTTTGACCAATTCTTATCAGCAGCATTGAAAACATTCACTTACCCAAGGATTCTCTTTCACTGGTTTCAAAAGGAAGACAAATGGCAAATTTTCGATAGTCACTGATCTCGAAGAGCGGAAGACTAGCAACAGCTATACAGAAGATCCACCCAACAGTCATTATGACTCCTGATAAAACAAAACAGAATTATACCATGATAAATGACGCACATAGACGGACATACTTATCAGGCTTTTGCGATATCATATTCAAACTGAATAATTGGAATGATTGTCTTGCTGTCATATTGATGTAAATGCCGTCACCATTTGGAAAACGAGCAATTATTATTTGTATTATTACCATCATGTCTTTGTAAACATACAAGATTTCATTGCATGTTGCAATTGAATAAATAGCGATATATGAACTGTTAATATAATGCAAAAGGAATTGATTTTTTATGTATTGAAAAGTGAAATTCTATTTGGTGTCTTTTGCACAATTCTTTAAAGATTGTCTGTGGATCGATCTCGGACGGACGTGAAAAGGAAAGGGGCCACTTGCCGGACCACGTGAGTTTTCCCCGGGTACACCGAAACCTCCCATAACAAGACCCCTAGCGCGTTTACATACGGGCCAATAATAGTGATTAGTATACATTGAAATAACATGTCTCGCAATTGTTGTTAAATAATTAGTTAATTACAAAGGGATATGTCAGATAGGATCAATATACCCACAGAAATCATGATAAGCAACACCTACTGTGTCATATGCTATACACTGACACTTTCGTAAAATCTATCAGTAAGTTACTGAATCTGGTATGTATATGATTTTCCAATAATTCCATCATGCTGTCAAGTGGAAACACACATTTGCCTGAGACTACGCCAGTTTTATTTCAATGTTTGCACTTCAATATTCTATGATTTCATAAAAAAATCACAAAGGTTACAGAGATAAGATACAAACATTATCGGTGAAGGCAACAGCAGAAGAAAATCTATAATTTTATTGCATTGATTAGTCAGTACGTTAGGCATATCTGATATCTCACAATCCACTATTGGCTGGACATCACCTTTATCTAGGATCAGTTGTAATATGTATTGCAGACTGTGATATATGAAACTTTCATAAATTACACGGAGTTGATTGTAGTTACCAGCGGATTTCAATGTGAGTCGTTTGTTGAACTGGAGTGCGTGTGAGATGGCATAGTAACGTTCCACCGTGATAACAGTCAAAGTGAACACACTCAGTTCACTTGAGAATACACCAAGAAAACCCGCCACCAGGCAACCAGGACTCGTCTGCCAACGGATAGCGTATTGTTGGAACTCCCCTTGGAAGAAAATAAAACGGGATGGTTTGAAACAGATTTGTCGTTGTTTGTTTGATATGCTTTTAGGGGATGTTTTAATCGAAAAACAGTAAAATGAAAGAAAATGTAATAGTTATGATATTCTTTTTAATAACAAAGGGAAATATTGCTGATTAGCGTGTAAAACAAAAGTGGTCAACAGCGGTAGCAAGGCGATAAAGTCATTGCGCACATACACTGAGAGTACCAGTCGATACAAATCGTCCAGAATTTCCATGCGTTACATGAACATAGATTCACCCAAGAAATTATGTTTGGTCTCTTAATAAACATTTCATCAACAAGGACAAATGTTCAAGCAATTTAAGAATCTCTTAGTTGTATTCTATTAGTATTACAAACCTCTTTTCGTGTAAAAAGGAAATGTATATGCTTAAAGATAACACATTATAAGTTATCGTTGTTTCGTCCAGAGGAAGCAACATTGTTCTTAATATTGGAACTCTTGTGTTGAAGAAAAAACAACATAAAAGAAGGTATAATTTGACAATTACAAGTGAATTTTCTCTGCTTTGTGAACACAAGTCGAACGAAAACAACCCCAACTTGCCACTTTCACAGCACTAACAGTACTTACCAATGGTTGAGGCATCGACAATGGCTAACATGCCCAGATATACACCCATACAGAAATCGGCACAGGCCAGATTGCATATGAGGAATCTTGGAACTTCCATCTTGGATCGTCCACTTATAGACACAAATAAAACGATACCATTCCCTGCGACTGCAAGGAGGAAGACCATCCATACGCCACAACGGAGCGACCACCATCCGAACAGATCGTCACAGGGTAGGAATGGACCTGAAATCAGAAATGGAAACGATAAAAAAATCAATTCTGGTTGGTCGAAATATTTTGTATATTCGTGAAAAATACAATTGCTATTCACCTTTTTGTTTATTTAGTGTTTTTACAAATTGTGTTACTACTGGTTAATACAAATTTGGATCATTTTTTATTAGGTCACATATATTCCGGGTTCCTGGCGATTCTTATTTGTTGGCTACCGACCATAATCATATTTCCATGTTAATTTTGTCCATGTTTTGTTTGTTGGCTATCACCAAAATTGAAGTACCCCGAGGCAAATATTCAGATAGACGCTTGACAAATATTTATACAGACCGATGTCTAGCATTCTCTCATAAGACTTGCCTTCTTTTGTAAGGAGAAAATTTTGACATTTCAGATTTGAAAAACTTATGTTTCTGGAAGCAATGCCATAATGTGATGTTAGGATTAGGCACACCGACTTTTAAATAAAGAAATAATTTCAAATAAGCATTTGAATAATTTGACTGTAAAAGTTAGGAATTATGTTTGATTGAGAACACTAGCTCGATGGCTTGTATCATTTTTAAACACAGCTGTATTTCAAATGCTCTTATATAAAAATGCTTATCTGCGATCAGCATTGACTAAAATAATAACAGTATATTCCTACTTACCAACCCTAATGTTTTAGGCAGAAACCCGAAACAGATGTTATGGCCTTATCAAGTTTTTAATGTATCTCCAGTGTAGGATATTGACAATGATGATCAAACCTTGTAAGAATGTAATGACACCATGTAAAAGTACATTTACTCTCTCTATTCATATCGAATTGGTATCATGCTAAATGTTTTCTCAAACTACAGAGTTGTAATCGCTTTAATAAGACATGCTGTCTGTGTTGTCATAAGAATATTAATGTGTTGCGAACACATTTATAAAGCCCATTCTAATGATAGAAATATTATATCCTTTGTATGCCAGTCACGCTACTCAGAGGACAATTTGAAAGCAATGCTAAAGAACAACGGACGAATTTCGTGACTTCATATGCATTGTGGAAATTTTTATTTCTCGAAGGTATATGATATTACAGTATTCCATCAAAAGTCTAGCCAAAAACCCTGTGTTTGTGTTACATGGAACACTCGGTGCGATATTATCAATAACCTGTTTGGAATAAACCATTGTGATATTAATGAAAGTAACGTATTTGGAAATAGTCCATTGACATTGATGGAATGCTTTTGTTTATCTATTTATTTACTGTAAATATCCTTATTGATTTTTTCTGTTCGTTGAATGTGGGGTTGGGATGTTTTCGTTCTTTTCTTGTTATGAGAATTTATATTTACAAATGCCACCGTTTCCTTTTTGACAGTTTACTGGGAAGGTTATACACCGGCATCGTCGGTCTGTTAAAACTATTGCTGTCAGTAACGTTTAAATTCTTATCTTTAGCAAAGATGATCCAATCCGCTGGGGATATAAGGCTGATATGCGATATTCAGAACTTCCTCTCTCGAAAGGATTGGCACCCCATAGACAGTTCAGAGAACACAGCAATACCCAGAATATAGGATTTTAGATATTTGATTTGTTGATTTAGTTTGGTTCATATCTAACTGCAAACCTGGTAAAGGCGTACAATCCACAGGCTTTCTCACGTGAATTATTTCATCTGCTCTATCCATTGCATCCGAGGGAGTGATGTCCCCATTATCATCACCAGGGCCCACGTAAATCGCGTAGTGATCAATGCTGATAGTCTCATCACTGTCAGGAAAAGTTTGGTTATCTAGCTCAACAGAATAAAAACAGCTGCTTTTGATTCCATCGCATCAGAATGGCAGTTTATTTCTCATTTTTAGAAACAGCAAAATAAAAGTATAATTAATAATTATTCTAATATGAAAAATACAGACTTCTTTTTGAATTGTAAGTTAAACAATGAAGTGAAAGTATAACAATTAAATCATATATGACAGTGAATGAATGTTCGGAATGTGATGCTAAAATTAAATAATAAATTTCAATGTTAGTTTCGAAAACAAATCTTTGTTTCGAGGATAATATTATAGTTTTTTTTTTAAATAAGGTGATGATAGCAAAATTATTTTTCTTATGCACATTGATCAGATACCTACCAAAGTCCATATCATCATCAACAACACCATGCTTATGATTAAGCCAGCGGACATCCTCCTTCAATTTGGTTTCTCCATAGTCCTAGAATCAATTTTTGTACAAACTGTACTTAGGTATACAGCGTCTGTTACTTCACAAATACAGAGACAACTAATCTTATTTGAATGTTATTAAGGATAAGGTGTTATATTAACTGGCGTTCTCTATATATTGTGGGTGAAAAAAAAAAAAAATGAAGCAAACGCTTATTAGAATCTTCCAGTTGTTTGTGATGAGGTGAGGCAAATACACATAAATCAACAGCTGAGTGTTTAACCAAACCAAAATTATCCAATATCGTAAAATTAATTATCTTTTTCCTTAAGAAAGGGCATATTTATCTCCCCATATTTCCACACGAGGAATTCCGTCTCCTATCATTTGCATTTCCAGTTCTAAAACATTGACGTGCCGGAAAATTATTAATAAATTTACTGGACGTGATAGGAAATTATATGAAACAATAGCTTCTAACGCTATCATGACTTTTATAATTGAAATAAGGAAAAACGAAACTCTTAGAGTGTATTTTAATTTTAAGATTCCTTTGGATCGGGATAGCACCTGTCTCTGGCCATGACTCCATATTACGTCACAACCGTATCATTTACATGTTCTTTGTTAAAAGTAGATAAATATACAACGTGTTTTCTTTGTTACCTTTCTGCCGCCATATATGAAGTCACAACAATGGTAGGCATATGACAGGACAAGAATTTCGATGTTAGGTAGTCTGGCAGAAGGAAGGGCTTCCTGAAGGTTGGTATTATGGAACGTTTTTAAAACTCGTAGTTTCTGTAGACCGTCAATAGGTAGGCGTGGAAACTCATTCTCACTTAAATTTCTGGGAAGAGAAATATCAGTAACATTGATATAACATTAGTATTGCTGCTTAATTAACACATTAAATAGGTAAAAATAATAACAGCTACAACTAAATTCATACTGGTGAATATTTTTCTTTTCGAATTTAAAGTGAAAAAATAAAATAAAAAAAACCCCGGTTTATATGAAGATAGTGTATTTTATATCAAGATATTTATCTAAAGAAAATCCTCCTTTTAGACTTAACTAATCCAAAAAGTAAGCATATCATTTAAGGCTCTATTTATTATTTGATCACACTTAAAGCTTAAGTTGATTTGTATTCTTTTCTCTCAAGGCTTTTTATCAATGAAATGGGCCCTAACAAACAAATATATCCTTTTATATATTTATGTGATGATATCAGATACCATAACCATCTTGAAAAAAAAAGTTTGTTTTTTGTTTTTGTTCTTAACGTGCTTGCCACCACATTTTCATTCTCTCGAATAGTTGCACGGTTCAGAAAATACACATGTACTTGACGCTATTAAAAAATTATCTGATATATGAAAATTACAAATTTGATCTGATAATGGAGTCTGCCCGCCTCACCCCCACCCCTCCCAATCTTAATCATGAAATGTTGTGTGTCGTTTGTACAATTATGATCATGCAATGATACTTACAATTCTACCAGTTCTGTTAAATCCGTAAAAGCGTCGTCGTCAATTTCTTTGATTTTGTTTTTAGACAAATCACTACAACAAGAACATTTTTAGATTTATTACAAAAAAACATTCCTCTAAACCACTTTACAAATAAAGAGACACCTCCAGCACTAGCGCCTAAAACGACCTTCGTCAGAGAGTCTTTACTCATAACACAGACGAGTATAAACTCACATATAGTTAGGTCTTTACTCATAACACAGCCGAGTATAAACTCACATAAAGTTGAGTCTTACTAATAACACAGACGAGTATAAACTTACATATAGTTATAACACAGCCGCGTATAAACTCACATAAAGTTGAGTCTTACTAATAACACAGACGAGTATAAACTTACATATAGTTAGGTCTTTACTCATAACACAGCCGAGTATAAACTCACATAAAGTTGAGTCTTACTAATAACACAGACGAGTATAAACTCACATATAGTTAGGTCTTTACTCATAACACAGCCGAGTATAAACTCACATATAGTTGAGTCTTTACTCATAACACAGCCGAGTATAAACTCACATATAATTGAGTCTTACTCATAACACAGACGAGTATAAACTCACATATAGTTGAGTCTTTACTCATAACACAGCCGAGTATAAACTCACATAAAGCTAGGTCTTTACTCATAACACAGACGAGTATAAACTCACATATAGTTGAGTCTTTACTCATAACACAGCCGAGTATAAACTCGCATATATTTAGGTCTTTACTCATAACACAGCCTTACTAATAACACAGACGAGTATAAATAGTTAGGTCTTTACTCATAACACAGACGAGTATAAACTCACATATAGTTAGGTCTTTACTCATAACACAGCCGAGTATAAACTCACATATAGTTGAGTCTTACTCATAACACAGACGAGTATAAACTCACATATAGTTGAGTCTTTACTAATAACACAGCCGAGTATAAACTCACATAAAGCTGCGTCTTTACTCATAACACAGCCGAGTATAAACTCACATATAGTTGAGTCTTTACTCATAACACAGCCGAGTATAAATCACATATAGTTAGGTCTTTACTCATAACACAGCCGAGTATAAACTCACATATAGTTAAGTCTTTACTCATAACACAGCCGAGTATAAACTCACATATAGTTGAGTCTTTACTCATAACACAGACGAGTATAAACTCACATATAGTTAGGTCTTTACTCATAACACAGACGAGTATAAATTCACATAAAGTTGAGTCTTTACTTAGATATTCGAGTATACACACAGAGACAGTCCAGTCTTATTCACAGAGGGATGTGTTCATACTCACATACAGTCGAGTCTTTACTCAGATATTCGATCTACACACAGAGACAGTCCAGTCTTTACTCACAGAGGTATGTATTCATACTATGATAGTTGATTATTAGCTAAAATATTCGAGTTTACACACAGACAGTCAAGTCCTTACTCAAAGAGAGTTGTGTCTGTACTCACAGGTTGTGAAATCTACACCTAAAGATAGTAGAGCCAGTACCAACAGAGAGTTGAGTCTTGACTCTTTACTAAAAGAATGTTAAAGAGTCTCTTCTCACCGACATTCGAGTCTGTAATCACAGATAGCCGAATCTATACTCACAGATAATCAAGCTTGACGAGACCAGAGAATGCATCCTCAGGGATATACGTAATGCGGTTACGGGTAAGAGTAAGGTCCTTTAGGTGTGTCAGGTTGCCGAACAAATTGCCATCAAGGGACGCTATGTCGTTGTTACCAAAGTTCCTGGAATTAGAAGATTGTTTCATGTTCGAAATTCATTTAAATATGAGCAACAGTTGCTGCTTCTGAATTTTCAAATGATGATCATGGGGTAGACAATTGCTTTCTGAACGCTTTCTCCCGATGTTGTTCTCATGGCGAAAACACAATACTGTTGGTTTATTGCTTTATGAAGGCAAGTTCTTCTGACAAAAATATATAACACACGACAGACTACTGTCATATGTAACGATGTAAAGCAAACTAAAAATAAAATAGATAAGAAATACCATATATGCCGAATAATATATTAAATGATACCATAATATTGAAAAAGATAGTCTACTTTGGATTGTTCAAACTTAAATTGCAACTTCTAGCTGAGGATCAAGGTAGTGCGAGGTTATGTAAGTAACAGTTTTTGGAAAGATTCACTGGTGCGAATAACCATAATACAAATTTCGTGGCATGAAACTACGAAGATTATGGAATGAATGGAGACTAATCATTTAGATTTTTTCAGGATAAATTTCGGTTATTGGTATAAACCTTAATCTTTTACCTCTGAAAATTCTTCAAAACAAAATCCTTTTTATGTACTTTTTGTTACCGAAAGTTTATCGGAACAATACATTGAACTTTAAAGACGAATATGATACCTCAAAGAGAAACAAACTTACAATGTTTACAGTTTGAGTTGTATTCTATACCTTTATCTGTTGCGTCTTCTAATTTAATACAGGAATTGTCAGAACGCACGAATCTCGTCTGACTTATAGACATGTATTTGATTACCAAGTTCGTTATATTGATTTTCTCCTTCTCGATCTCAGGGACTGAACACAGTACAGTATACACTCTCATAGACTTTAACGGCACCAGCCCACTGAGTCGAAAGCGATATGGCACCAACATTATCGCAATACATCACTGTTTTTTTTTCCATTGACAAATGTTACTGTTTTGTTCTAAAATGCTTCTTCACATTTGTAACGTTATATTAATCTGAAATGTGAATGTTAAATCATAGATACAGCCAACACACTTGTTTTTGCAACCGATTCGTCAAACGACCAAATTGATATTTTTTAGTGAACTATTGTATGAGCAAATGTATATGCAAAACTCATTCACAATGCAGATAATTTTATATATCTATACAAGGAAAGGGAAGGACAAGTGCAGTAAGTTTATTGAAAGAACGTGGCAACAGGATTAAACAGAGAATGTAATATTCTCACATGTTCATAGATAGAGTTTCAAAAAAAAAAAAAAATAATACCAACATGTCAATATAATCACAAACTCAAAATTAATAACACTAGGGCAAAATATGAACAAAAGCAAGATTTACACGGAGAGTCCTGCAAAGTGGAATGAAAATAAGACCAGGTGATCTGGAAGAGTGTCTTCTGCATCATCGACAACTTCCGTCTTGTAAATCTTAATATTATAGGAAGATATTTCAATTTTGCTCTTGTGCATATAGAACAAAAACATGCCATGATAAAATTCATTGGCGTTTTAAAGATGTTACGCCCATTCTCCACCGTAGTGCCAATCCAATTAATATAATCTTGTATAAGTTTAGGATACAATGGCGTTTGAATTATGTCACTGGTTTTCGTGAATTACAAGTAAATATCTTCATGGCGTTTCTTCAATTTTATGAGTTTAAGTATGTAGGAATAAGTATGCTATTACTAATTACAAAGAGTGTCCAATGAAATGACAAATCAGAATTGAAATAGGTAATATTTTATCAATTCACCACTAAAGAGTCAAACCAAAAATGTATACGATTTTTCAGTTATATGGTATCAATATTTAGAGTCCTCATATTGAATGACGACTCCTTTAAACCTTTAAAATGTATAACCAGAAACTGAATATTTTTTCAAGAAAAATAGCCAAAGCCATCTCAATAAGGGATATAATGAAACTGCACCAGTCAATGTGAAAAGAAATTACAACAGTGGAATGCTGCTCAAAACGGCTTTCCCAAAGTCTTGAAAAAGTTTGAAATTAACAGCCTGTCATTGACAGATACGTCAGCAAATCACCAAAACATGTAACTTTATCAAGCAGATTAACGAATCAACGAGCTCTATTTTGTATGAAAATATCGATTATAGGCACCACGCTTCTTTTTCCCGTCCTCTCATACCATTTACCAGATGCCAAATCTTGCTCTGAGGAAACCTCTGCCACTTTTGATTCAATGCAACACACAATTCTCCGATTGTTTGTCATTTTTGATCCCATGCATCGACTTTCTGTGCGAGGAAGTCCTATATATGCTCAATTTGGTTAATGTCTGGTTACATTACAGGGCATTGGAACGTCTCTATCACTTCTTGTAGAAAATAGTCTTGAACTAAGTGGATACTATATGATTTGGCATTGTAATCCATTAGGCCTATTTGTCAAGGGTCGAATGATGTGGTCATGATACTGTTGCCCATTTAAAGTTCTATTAAGGACATGCTAGAGAAGCTTACAGTTACACTGCCATCACCAAATGCTGATACGCGCAAAATGTAATCATGATAACGCGGACCGGACAACGCGAACATTGGTGGTTTAAATACAGTATGAGCACGTGCATGATTAAAAGAAGCATATAATCTCTATCTGACGTTTTACTCTTCGATGGCCAAACCCACTTATGTTGTCTATTAAAGAGAAATAGCAGAATGACTGACACTAAAAATCGTTAATATTGATATATATCTTGGTGGCATACGACACTAAACAAAAAAAAAAAAAAAAAATAGAACAAGGTATATTTTTACAAAAGGAAATTTAAGTTTTGATTAAAATTTTTACAATGAAATTGATGGTTCAAAACTTATGGCCAAGTTTATATAAAAGAATAGTATCAGAAAGAGAGTAGATAAAAGATACACTTTATGCTTTGATATCGGTTTATTGTTTAAAAGCGACCCGTTATCGCTTTCTTTGTTTTCCAAATTATCTACCATCACATTAACAGCTGGGAGTGTCGTTGAACAATGATTAAAGTGATGGTGTGGCATATCAAGTCCAAACTATTAAACGATATGGATTTTATAAGAATGTCTACGAGTTGAATATTGTCGTTTCGAATTTGAAAAGAAGCTTCCAGCAGCTGCTATCTAATCTTCATTGCAAGGAGATTCCATCGTGAACAGAAAGAAGCGAACGCGATATATTTTTTTCCAATGTGTACGAGCTGAAAGGTGCAAGGAAGTCAACGTCGTAGCCAGACATAATAAATCTCACGAAGCGGTAACTAATTTCCGGACGAGAAATTGTTTTGTAGGTATTGCAAATTATTCTAGAAGTTGTGAACAAATATTAATGCTATTGACAGCTGTGAATAAAAATAAAGAGGCAAATTCATATCAAATACCTCAAACAGCTCAAACTCTCGGTCTTCATGTAACCGTATTGATTCCAATAACCAGATTATGAATGTAAATTAATCTATCATCAAGACTCAAATAAACTGTTGTGGCATTACAGTTGTAAATAAATCTCATTTCTTATCACTTTCCTAATATCACGTGATAGAGAGTTTTATTTGTATCTGCTTGTTTACACTTTCCACTGTTTGCTACGTAAATTGACTTACACTCGCTTAACGCACTGTGCCCCTTTCTTTGCTAACTTGTTTCTGATTTCATAGTAAACTATTGACCATGTCAAACGGATATACCCGCAAGAACAGGAAACCAATGACACAACAGTCTCTTTTATATTAATCGCTTACCTCGATCTTTTTCTACAACGAAACCAACCAGGATAGCTTTCCACCAAGTTGTATAGTAAACGTAATAGTTTCGATTTCTTTCTTTAGAATTTCTATTTACAGATAAGAACAACCCTGCTTTCCCAGCAATAGTATTTAGGTGTCGCAGTTGATTCAATATTCAAGGGATTGATCCCAATATCAATATTTCATTCACGATGTCGACAGCTGAGAGATAAGTTTAAAACAGGGTTTCAAGATATGCAGGTTGATAAAAATTTCGAGGGAGTTGCATTGTTGTAATAGTGATCTCGTTTTGAAACATTCTCTTTATTTCTGCAATGTGAATGAAATTGGCCGTATTTGAAGCTGCTCGTTAGTATGCCAGATCGGTATTGATCTTGTTTTCACATTGGAACATGGCCTTACTTACTTTGATTGACCAAAATTTCAATTTCGAGTGCCGGCGATGAACCAGAAGACGCATATCCTTCTAGAACACCTTATCTGATTTTCTTCGTACTTATTTTCTTTGATGATTTTTTATTTCATAATTTTTGTTTATTTTCATTTACTTGATATACTTACACCAGTTTCAGCATATGGCATTCTTTCAAATCCGGGATCGTTTTGATGTTGTTGGAATGAATATTTCTGCAAAAACAGCAATATACACCAACGGTTAAAAGTTATTGTCTATTAAACCCTTATTTAAAATCACAAGTAATATCTATAAATACAGATCTATTGATAATCTTTGAAATATCTTTGTTTCATACTTTTTATTTTGCTTCCAAATAGATCAAAAGTGACCTTTGAAGTTGTACACGTCTATAGATAGACTTGAAACCAGACCAATTCTCCAAGGTAAACAAGATCTGCAAATACTATCATGCTGAAGAGTCCAACAAGCATTACAGAGAAAGCGCCACATACGGATATTTATAAAATGAAAAAAAAAATGTCCTAGAGGTTTGCCGTAAACTGTATTTTAGCACACTTCAGAATATACACATGTAGTTTTAAAAAAAAAGTAATCAGGTGCCTCTAAATTACTTAAAGTATTAAGTCGTAGGCCTAGTAATCCCCATTTTTACTGTGACATTTCTTAAGATCAATATAGGCTTCCATACATTGCTTCTAAGGTATCAACATTTTTTACCCGTAGCATCGCTAATGAGTCCGAAAAGGACGAAACATTTGTCTGCTGCAGTTAACTCATTATTCGACTCAATCTAAATCTCATTTTCATTTGTGTGCCTGTTGTACAACCTTCAATATCTCACCTGCTTGGTATTCTAAGAGGCGACTAACCTTTGTATATGCTTGCGAAGATGTCTTCTGTAATACGTAATATCGCATTTACTAATTTGGTGTATGCAATAATAATATTTTACTTGAAATCGATTTTTGCCACAGATTGTTATCAATGTGCCACGAATCCTTAATGACTATCCATTATATTAAGAGTACAACTGTACTTACATTTCAGTGAGAACGGGATGAGAGGAACAAAAGTCAGAAGGTATCTCGGTTATGGCAGATCTGTCCAGTTTGAGAGTAGTCAGATGAATAGCGCTAGACAGATCAGGAAATTCCGTCGTATCTCTGGCCTCCGATATGTGTCTATACAGAGAGAAAATATACTTAGTATGTTTGTCAAACTAAATATGACGTGATATTCTATCAATGTCATTGTTTAGCTGTGAGGTAAAACTTCGCGTCAATTTGGGAGAGAAAATAGAGAATTTAAAAGTTTACGACAAATATCTGGAAAATTGATTTTTTGCGATATATCAAATTCCACGTCCATTTGGAAGATCAATACGTGCATTTCCATTTTTCGCTAATGCATTTTATGGATACTTACATCTATCACTGAAAAAAACCTCCCCCCTCAACACCCCCCGCCTCTCAAAGCACAGGCGTATACCATAACATTAAATCAAAATATGTCTGTGTCTTGTCATATGTATAATGTAAAGAAAGAGGTGTTTAAGTATCTTTCATTTTAATCAACGCTTTGCAGACATGTTACATTCTTTCGTCTGTTGTAATGATGAATATTTCAGGGACATGTAGAATATACGGACTTGCTATATGTATATACTTAATAGACATCTCCAGTCCACGCGTAAACGTGACACGGACAAGGACAGGGACACGGACGCGCACGACACATTTTTGATTGAAACATATTTTATTGTACATGAGCACAAGTTTTTACATCTACATCTTCTATGAAGATGCGGACAAAAGGCAATTTGAATAACCCATCATTTCATGATAATGGGCTAATAAATACCGTTATATTACGTCATCGAATGAAAATGAATAAAAAAATCTAAAATTCTAAAGAGACTTTTTTATAAATTCTACAAAATTTCGGATTTTTTGTGACGACCCAACGATGTTGCCGTACTTAGCTCGGGTCAGTTATTTATGATATAGGTTAAATCATGATATTCAATACTAGATGTGTGTAGATCGTTTTCACGTGTGTACGTACGCCGGATAAATCACGTGCTATTACGATAAACTTTGATACATAAGTCACCAAACTTGGATATCATAATACCTTATATAACATAATTGTACCCGGTATTTTTATCGTTCAAATTCGTCATAACATGAAAAGCGTAACATTATTGAGTTTCCTTGTGTGTGCTTCACTCTCCAAACTTTACCAGGGCATGTACATGAATACAATGCTGATCGAAAGTCGGAAGTGATAAATTATCATTTATGACAATGAGGGAAGACAATCAAATCAAAAGAAAAAACCCTGAAACATTGTCGATGCTTTCTCTTAAGTGAGAACCAGATAAATACAACACAAAACAATCCCAAAGCTGTCTACAGCATTAGGCGTTGATGTGAATGGTTGTGACAGTGATTAAACAGTCAATTGGTAAAACGTTGTGTTCTTATTTTATACAGAATTGAATGAAGGTGGCTACACCCTTTCACAGTTGACTTTAATCTTTACATTAAACAAAACTTTGAAGAACACATTTGCCCAACAAGGCTCTTACAAGGGTCAGAATTTAGCTGATCAATTCAACATAGTTGGTAAAGATTCCGATTTGTAATATATAGTACGCGTCCGTGTGTGTAATACGTCTACACACAGAACTGGAGATGTCTTATATGTCTATTTTGATAATAATAAGACAGTACAGCGTTCTATAATCGATAGTTATTTAAAACTCAGACGGTCTGTCCCTTAGTAATGGTTAATCAGTATCTCAATTCTCTGGGGACTCACACAGAATAAAATTTCCTGTATACCAACTTCTTGCCAAATTATCTTGGAATTGGTGTGAATAACTTACAAGTTCTTCAATGGTAAGTTACTGAAAGCCAGTTTTCCGTATGAAACGATTGGATTATCTTTGAGCATCAGCATATGCATCTTGTTGTTTCCAGCAAATGCATTGTCGGGAATGTGCGCGATCTGGTTGTCCTGTATTTGCCTGTAAGCAATTATGACATTAGTTACAAGAGAATGACAGTTTGATTAAACATATGGCATCAAGCTGCATTTTAGAATGGAATCAATTTTGTGATATAAGCAGTTTTATTCAAAACAAAACGGATGGTAACAACTTCCTCAAAAAAATTATGTTATGAATTGATAACCATTAGCACAACTGTTAATTGAAAGTATTCTTTTCATGAGTTTGAATGGTTTTTGTCCACGCCACTGTCTAAACATTAAGAAAATGTAACTGAATGAAACATCTTTGCAACACATATTTATGCAATATTAGACGACTCAAGCCAAGGAGTCATTGCATAACCTGCATGCCTTATCATTTAAATAGTGGCATAATTCAAAGTACTGGATTTTTTAAAAGAATCATTCTGTATCAAACATTACAAAGTTATTGAACTTCCGAGGTCAGTTCACCTTCGTCTGGTTTTTACATTTGCTTCGATCCAAATTTGATTTTCCTTAGTCGCCTCATAGGTTGAAAAATAGACTCTTATCATCACAGACTATTTATAGAATGCTGCAATAGCTGTATGATGCAGTTTTATTCGTTATATTGCTATACTATATTACATTGTATTGAACGTTCTATTCATACGCAGGCCTTTTATGCATTTTTGTGGATTTTGGTGGCATGATTGCTACGTAATCGACTTCAACTTGTCGTGATGCAAAAACACTTCAATCAAACTACGTTGATGATTCATGTTTTTATTGTTGTGAAGGGTTTCTTATAGACGTAGGGCAGCCATCAATGTGAACATTCAATGTATGCAATATGTTTGTAAATTAACTTGGAAAATCTTGGCATTTTATAACATCGATTACTATACTCACAGTGTTTTAAGGTCTCCCAAAGCTGTAAAAGCTGGTGGAATGTGCTTCAGAAAATTCCCGTCAAGAACTCTATCAATACAACATTGATAAATAAAAACCCATTTATATCAGTGTACAATGAGAGATAGCTTTCACATAAAAACATAACCCCTCCCAACACACATACCCATCCAGTCCGAATAAGGTATTAACGTTTTACTAGAAAGATCATCATTACCAATAATGATGGACAAAAAAGAGGGGCAAAGGCGACAACTTCTCGTCAGCAGTTTCTATAGCAAAGAGACCATGTCACCTATTGCCGGTTTAATAGAATTCGATTTGTTGTCTACGTTTACTGTCCAATGAATTTACCAATGTCATATTAAAAAATCGGTTTAAAGTCTGTAAAACTAGCTTTAGAATGTACCAGGATAAATAACAAAATAACAAAGCTGCTTTAGCTTCACAATCTGCCTTAAGGCACCAATTAGTATATTAATATGTTAATGCGGTTATATGGAGCACAAAGAGATAATTTTTTAAAAATTCGATAAAAGATCATTTCAACTTTTGTTAATTATGAGCGGAAAACCGGTACGTAGAAGCACAAACGAAAACGAGTGGGCCTAACTGGGCCAAATGAGGTAGACTCGAGAAATATCAGAAACGCCTGCTGCTTATTAAGGCATTGTTTACCTTGTAAAACCATAAATGAAGCGAAATCAAGCTGATTGCCTATACTAGATTAAAGCCTTATTTGTCAGTGGTAATTGAGTTTCTTCCCACGAAATGTACTGACAAAAGCGTTCATTCATGGACAGAAGTCGTAATAATGATACAGAAATATCGCCATTTGTAGTGCGACTTTGGCAATTGTTGGAAAGTGATAATCAATCAATTTTGTTGTGTGCCACAACAGGCTTCTTCATGAACAGAGAACGCAATGATGCTGTACACGAAACAAGATGTTTATAGGGCCTGTACTGTTCACCTAGTTTTGGCTGTAAGTACTTAATCTAAACTAAAGGAAAAGGGGTTATAAAGAATTATATTTATTTTCCCAATGGCTCCAACCCCTTTACCCCGAAAGGAACAGCAAAACCATTTATACAAAAGTCTTCTATAACAAAAAATGATTCAGACAAAATTGAGAAAGAATCTTATCATTCCTTCAGAAGAAGATGTGTTTATAATTATTTACACAAAATTTCGCCCCTTCAAATGAAATGCTTGCCGATAAAATTGTGTGCAAAACCCATTATACGTTTATACGAGTAGACTTTTAAAGATTTCTTTATTGGGCCCGCTTCCGATCAAATTTGGCAAAACCCGAGCATTCTTCAGGAGTAGTTGTATTTTTAACAATTTGCTCTATTTCCCTCTATTGGGTCCCCCAAAAAGGCCAAGACCCATCTTTTTATAAAACTGATTTCTCTTGAAACAAAGAAACATCAGACCAAATTTTAAAAATCATTTCTATAGAAAAAGAAGGCCTGTAAAGAAACCGCTGTATTTCGTCTTTTGTGCCCCGCCCCTCTACACCACAGTGGCCTGACGCCATAATATTAAACTGGATGAAGTTGATCTATATGCTTCTCGTATGTATATATATAACATGAGGCTGCACTTGGTCTATGTAATTACACCTTACTCTACTAGTATTTAAGGAGCTTTTAAAGCAACTTTCTACACTAGTCTGTAATAACCTACTTTTTTTTAAAGCTTTGCATCATCAAACGCCGACGAACAAGTCTATTCCTTATTCACGATACTTAATTTTCCATCCTTTTCTAGACATATGTGATATATCAGGGATTCCGTTCACAGAGACGTTTAGCGATTTGTTTCTCAACACAAGGGCATGTCCTAAGTCCTAACCTCCTTGTTGCATCCTGTCTACCGATAACCCTGTTGTCACAAATTCCTCGCTTCTTTGCAATGAACCTGTCACGCCATCATTATCTTCTTTTGGTTTAGATGATTCTGGTCCATGAAGGTTAAGGGTTACAATCATGATCAGTATATGTTCATTGTTATGCCTTGTGGATTCTTTTGCTTACTCGGTTCTGATTTCTTGAAACGCAATTTTTACTACTTTGTTAAATAATATCGACAATGTACTGATATGAACACTATGTTAATATGGCGAAAATGGCTAGGGCGGGGGTTGGGGGTGGGGGCAATAATCTTTCCGTAAGGTTTCTTTATGAAAGTATTTATTGTACTTATATGAACCGGCTTGGATATATGTGACAAATAAAGGTATGCCGGTGTATCAACTCAAATAACATGGTAATCCAAGTTACTTACAAATTGTCGAGTACATTTAATCCTTGAAATGCGTAGTCGCCGATTTCAGTCAGCCGATTGTCAGCTATTAATCTGCAATAAAACTCGTTGTATATTATGTTTGAAATCAATTGAGAGAGTGATTATTAACAAAGGTTACGAGATATAAAACTAAATATTCGTTACGGCTTTTATACTTGTGTCAACACTGCATTCTAACATTTTTTTATTCTGTAGGTTTTAATTTACATATTAAAATATGAAATTTTCAATGAAATTTAATAACTACCCGCATGTTTTCTGATCATCTTCCATATACGTACCGGAACGTACCCAAACATCTTTGAAATTTTATTTCGTATGTTGTCATGCTTTAATATTGTAAACAGGTGAGAGAGGTTAACATTGATATAACCATTTATATATCTATATATATGTACTCACAGTCCCACCAGGTTGGTCAGGTTGCTGAATGCATAATTAGGGATTCGTTCTATTTTGTTGACAGATAAATCCCTGCAAAAGAAAAAGGAAAGAGAACTTGGTGTTTCGTGTCTGCGAAAATAATTATAATGGACAGATTCCAATTAATGTTCAATAATTTGATTCAAGAAAAACATTTGATCCGAGCGTCCAGAATGTCGATGAGGCATTACAATACGTCAATGGTTTGCCTCTGTAATTCGTAATCTAAGGTGCTCATTATATCTTGAAATTAGCGGCGATTAATAATCACAATTTAGTAATTTCGTACGGTTTTTAATTGCGCATACGGTCAACGGCAACGAAATCATCAGATTATTAAAGAGCAGAAAAACGTTTAACTTCACATTGTACAAATGTATTGAATATATACCAATGCGATCATTTGATATTCATTTTTCACGATTTCGTCCAGCGTATATTACCTTTCTTTCATTTGGACGTTTAGTTCATACGCTGATGTCGTTATGCAAATTCAAATTGTTTGATATATTGTTCTAGGATTGATTTTGAGCCGACTTCATATATAGGTTATTGCAACATCTTACAAGATTTCTAGAGAAGAGAGATATTGACACGCATCCGCCGGAAATGAAGAAAGAGCGTTGGCTTCAAAATGCAGTATCTTCAGTCGCTTTAAATTCCTGAAGCTCTCCGCAGGCACTTGGTTGATGTAATTGGCATCGAGATGTCTGAAACAGGTATTGAAACGCAGTTGCATTTTGTTATTGGTGAAAGGTCAGTTAGCTGTTATTCTAACCATTTCAGTAACATTCCATTTGTCACAACTGACACATATCTTGTAAACAGACGACTATTTGATTCAATTCGAAAACAGAACAACACTAATTTAGTATGATAGATATAAGTGGCGGCAACCATCCGTCACAAAAGGAACCCGGATGTCACCAACAAACACAGAAATGAGTTATGATATATACATATATATGTACATAATCAAAAACAATTGCCAATTCATGTACATAACCTATCACAAATATCGGCTATACATATGTGCATTATACATTATAACAATACAAATAACAATAGAATAAGCGAAGGAAAAATCATAAAGAGATAATATATAATCTAAACAGATACTATTTAATTTCAATTAAATACTTCAAAAACTATGAAATGAAAATATATTAATATAATCAAGAATAACAAACAGCGTATGTAGCGCGGTGTGTCAAAGACAGATTTCCTATCTATTCGACATCTACCTCACAAACTATTTAGACATTGTAAAATCAACAAAAAGCATTAGGAACATAGTGAACAACGTCTTTTGTGTACTGCTTTTGTAAGACATATGAACATATGAATAACACAGTTTAATACATAATGAAAATTACAATTAATGTAAGGAATATGTAACGAATTTCAATATAAATTGTTCTTAAAGACTTTCACTGACTCGTTTACAAAAGGATAGTTTAATATCTTATGACAATTTTTTTTTATTATAAAACAATTTATCTTTAACACCCGTAATTAAATCGTTGAGCGACTACTTCGATATTGACGCCACGTATTTCATGTAAAAGAAAGAAGGGACATTAAGATGATACATTTTACAACAGTTTTCTTTATTGCATGAGAAACATAATGTTACATTTGATTCATGAGAGACAATCAGAATCACGCCACGTCTTATTTTCCTTTTTGATCACTAGATTCTAGCAAAAACAGAAAATGAATATGACCATAGAAATGTATGAAAAGGAAACACTTGTATGGTTTTCTATATGACACGCCAATAAATTTAGAAAGACATATCGATATTGAAATTACACAGATAAATAAGAACATAATATATGCGTTTACGAATGTTAATGTCTATCCTGCTACAATATAGCTTTCTTTATTGTAAATCACGATATATTTCCCATTTTCTCTCATAATTTCTGAAATCATATCACAGATATTAAATTTCCATTTCATATGAGCCAATTAAATCACGCCAAAGTTTTCCATTTTAGATCACCAGGTGTTCGCTGAAATAGATTTGATAACGATCATAAATCGTTTTCTTGTCTTCATAGATCATATATGAAGCGGAAACACTATTATGGTTTTCTCTATCTTACTTCTACTAATTTGAAAATGTCTATCGATATTGAAACTCCACAACTGTTTCCGTTAGCCGAGAGGTTTATAAATGAATCTCTTTATATTTATATCCTACCGCAACTATATATCTATAGTAACGATGAAAGTTTTCGGCCAGACGCTTATAGTATTTTTATTCTCAATCTTTAAATAGGAAGAATTCAAACGAACGTTTTCTAGAAGAAAAAAAACATAGTAGTTATGTCGATGGGAAACTGTCTCCAATATCTTTCTATTGGAAACTAAAATTAGTTTTTTTGAAAATTGCATTTTGGGGGAGCGTATCGCATTTCTAAAGGTTGTTTATTCGTTTCAGAAAACACACACGGCTTTGTCAATAGTAGAAGCACGGCAACTTTGTCTGGGCAATAGAAATTTGTCTTTAAAAAGAAATTATTATTATTATTTTAATATTGAAAAAAAATGTTTAGTCTTGTAATACTTACAGTTTCACAAGGTTATGTAGCTCATGGAAGGCCCGTGGGACGGTTTTCAACTTGTTCCCATCCAGGTATCTGTTTCAAACAGGATTTAGTAATGAGACATAAAACGACACATTAATTTCACTCAAAACGAATACTACTAGGCAATGTAATTATATGGATCAGATCGTTAAAACAAGACTTGCTAGTAAAACATAATTCATGAAACATAAATGAGGATGTTATACCAAACAGCAAAAGATAAAATTGCAATGCGATTCGCCAAACTCATTCAAACTGAAAATTAACAACATCATAACGGTGAGGATTACTCGTCCGCTCTTCATTTCAAGTCTTACTTTTACGATTTTACAGGATTACAGTTTAATCAGAATAAAATTTCTTTTTGAAAAAAACCCAACTCATACCCTCACAGATCGCACAGATCGCACACACTTTGAAAAAGTCAGACTTATTGTTAGATTTATTGAATTTGCGTTGGGATTATGATTATGTTAACATATTGATATATTCTTAGTTGTCTCTCTCGGTATATGTCTGGTATTACTAGAGGGAGTTTTCCCATGTCATTCAACAACGTGCTGAGTATCTGAACATTTTCTGTAATTTAATTGAAAATATGAGTTTTTTTTTTTTTTTTTTTTTTGAAATCATTGGTCGCATGTATGACAACAGACGTCTATCATTTTGACGGTAATATGGTGTTTTTCTTCAAATAAACAAATGCGTCTCTAGTTTTGACAATGTCATATACAGGAACGTATCAGAATGTTTGATGTCAATAATTGTCAAGAACAAATGGGGCTTACAATCGATAACTAACCCGGATTTAGCCCGGAATTTCCCCATTGACATGTGTTTACATATATGATAGTTTGCAGAAAATTGAGGGCGATAAGAGTAGCCACCTTAGAATAAAAAAATTAAAACGAACGTCTATCTAACGTCACAGCGGCGAAAAAGGTACACAGTCAACGAAATACCTTCGATTATACAGAAACAGATGCAGAAGTGGGGTAGTCCTTGCCCATTTTCGAATTGTTCATACATGTACGTTAAAATATATACCGAGGAACGAACAGCCTTACTACCAAGCATTAAACGATTCTAAAACGTCTTTTGAAATGGTTGAAAATTTTAGATTATTTTTTATCTACTTGCCAAGGGTTAATAAGGAAATGTTTTATCATTTATCATTTTATTCATTAGTTTTCACCTTTTTCGGTCGTTTAAGACCTATTGGCTGTAGTGATCTTTTTATGAGTTGATGGGCCGTCAAAAAGGTAATTATGATAACACCTAAGAGATATTTTTTTCTTTTCAAAGATGTATATCAATTACTGGCCAGCAGGTATCTTTTTCTCTAATGATTGATATGAAAATGAAAGAAAAGTGGACATAATTGTTTGAACCACATGTTATTTTATGAATATTATTTCAAATGAGGACATACAATAATATTGATATTTTATATTGTTGAAGTATGTGATGGTGTAGGTCTCAGTCTCCTCCCTTCAAACAGGGCGTATGAACCGTATCCGCTGCTCCTATTTCTAAACCTGGAATTCTGTCGTTTTCTTGTTTCTAAACACCATTCCTTACCCCTAATGCCTCCCCTTGACATTGCCTCAGCGATGTAAGAAGGCTTGAGGTTCTATCCTCTGGACGAAAAATACCAGAATCTATGAAATTGGCAGTTCAATTATCAGTATTATGGCGGTGTAACGACTGGTTCACTCGTTGTCAGAATAAGGTAACCGAGTGTTATGTCCCGCAGGAGGACTTCGGCAGTACATTTTCATGCGGTAACATTATCACAAGCAGGCCAACATGAACAATCGGCAGCTTCCTACAAACATGCTACGCATGTTCATGACTTTTACTGACTATCGGACATTAAACAACATAACATCAAACAAAACAGTGCGATATCTCCCTAAATACGAAAACAATTGATAACAATGGCAGTGCTTTTCTATAGGTATACGAATCTTAAGATATGAGATTTAAAATGTGTACAGATACTGTATTATGTAATCCAACCGTTGTAAGATACATGACACATCTTTCTTGATCATTAGAACACAACCTGTTGGCTCAACCGAGATATATCATTGGAACGACTGAAGGCATCGAAACTCAATTACAAGTATTATACATTTGTTTTTTTAAATTAAATTAAATTTTTAAATCATGGATTTAGTGTTGATACCATGATATTTGTCGATCAGATCACAACGTCGTAAATATTGTAGGGATAGCGAATTAATTTGTTTACAATACATTTCGCTAAGTTTATATTAATCCGTTCGGAGGCGCTGGAGGCGTCAAACAATGCTTTCGATGCTTGTAAACCATTTCATAAAATGAAACGAAACGACAGGTTTTAACCATTACTATATCTCAAGCAGACATTCAGAAATTCGGTCCTTAAATGATAACAACGCAAGTCATGACTACAGCTTTACTTGATAATTTCAAACCAAACACAAGTAATAATAATGGTGTGACACGTGACGTTAAACAGTTCGTATTGATCATTGTAGAAATCGCTTTGAAGTATAACACGCCTTCACATACATATCAACTGCTAGACATCACGCGGAAGATAAGTTCTGACCCATATTCATAGAAATATTGATATCGTTCTGAGAATGAAGATTTCAATTAGTGTTACACAAGATATTTCCGCCCAAGGCTGCTGCCGACTTAAGAAACGGTACGTGTCATGGCTCTGAGCAGGGAAGGGGAATTCTCTTACTTTGATTCTTCAACTCGTTTTTTTTAAATGTTTAAAGATAATTGTCTTCGATTCTAGGTTATCAAAGAGGAAACAGAAGGTCAAGGAATAACGCTTGAAGACGTGGGAGTCAAGAAATCATGTATTTGTTTCTTTGAATGCGTTGAAGATAAGAATAATACAAGTCTTCGCTTCACTACTTCCGAAAAAACAACACAACGAGCAAATAAATTTGCCGTACTAGCGTGCCAGAGTTCTAGAAGGAGTTTAATGCCACCATACATTTTACTATACAATCTGTTACATATCGCTTCATGGTATATAGGTATCTGTAAATGTACATGTAGTTTGTAAAACCTAAACGCTAATCCCCGTCATTAGCTCGCACCTGGCGCCCAGAAAAAACCGGAGATAGCCCCCGGAAATCTGTATCCAAAGGCAGGAAAACAATTACATCCAGACAGGTGGGCCTAAGGGTAACGCTGGACCTGCGTTATTTCGAAGATACCCCGAAATTACTTTCTTTATTACCACTAACATATATATCTATGTCTACAAAAGAAACTGACTTGAATTAACGATAATAAATTTGTAAAAAAAAAAAAAAAAATACTGTGTTCGCCCTGCTGAGATGGCAGCTAGAATGTGACCATACAGAACACGTACCCGGGTTCGTACCCGCATACCCGCGTTCTCGCGCACGCGGAACGTGCGAAGCGATATGCATGCGATGTCGCTAAAGACAAATAATTCCCACTATACTAACGAAACGCGGGAATATAAAATTCTATGATTTCGTCAATATTGATTCATGATAACAGGTATCTTTATGTATGAGACTGTATCTTAATAATAAAACTGTATATAGTGTACATTTTCACAAAACAGAGGATTGTTAATAATTCCCGCTATACTAACGAAACGCGGGAATATAAAAGTCTTCGCTTCACTACTTCCGAAAAAACAACACAACGAGCAAATAAATTTGCCGTACTAGTGTGCCAGAGTTCTAGAATTAAACAAAGAAAGGGAAAGATTGACGCGCGACTGATTACAAAACAAAAACTACTATACTCAGTATACAAGATGAAACATTTACTGTAAAACTACAATCCTAGCTTTTGGGTGACTTATAACCTAGCGTGTAACGAGTCGGCAACATAACCGTCCTTGCTTGCGTCGCTTTTCCATCGGCCGTGCCTCTTGAAGCACCGATCATTGACGCCGTTATTTGCAGCGACGGTAGCGCCGCCTGTGCGCAAACTATGCAACCCCAACTTGCCAACGTCACAAACCAAAGCCAAACGTTTCATAATGGCCTGTCTAGCCCCTGTGTAACTCAAACTCTTGTTCTTATGAATTAGTTTACAAAAAAAAAAAAAAAATTGGCATGAACATAAACATGTTTGAATGAACGTCTATATCTGCTATCTCGATGTATTTGAGAACCATCGCGAAAGGACAGGCGGCCGTCTCGCCTTTGCTTATCACCACCTCGTTTCCGTGTCGATATTGATCGGTTTTACTTTTCCGGATCTTCAATGAAAGATAACCATCGAAAATTTTCAGGTCTGCACACAAGAGGTTACTAAGCTCGTTAAAGCGTAGAAATCCTGAAAAACGTAACAAAATCATAGACAGATCCCGAACTACAAGCAAGTCTCTATCATTAGAGAAGATATTACACAGTTCAATTAAAGTGTCCTTGCTAACTGGATCCTTCTTGCATACTGGTTTGCGGGCTGTCCGTTTGGAGCTCTCCAGCATATTCTGAACGAAACTGTTGGTTGTAGGATCAGAGAGTCCGTTGATTTCATGCACCCACTTGATGGCGTACACTACAGTTGAAATGACGGGAAAAGATGAATGTCTGTCCAACAAGTAGTTGAGGTACAGTGCCACGTGTACGGAATTAGCAGGCAATGCACAGCAGTCGTGTGACGAACAAAACTGCTTCCATTTACGAAAAATATCGAAGTACTTTTTATTGGTGTTTTCGCTTTTACTATCCATGAGTCGGATTGCCATGTTACTCGCCAAATAATAGAGCGATGATCCATTTTGTACCCCGGCATCCCTGACGGCCTTGTCAATTGATCCTGGAGGCCTATGCCTGTTGAAAACAATAATCAACACATCAATATGACAACATGCTAATGTCTGAAATCCAACCGGACTGCAAGCATATTGAACGACAAAATAGTTTTCTAAAAAACCCCGTTCTTTCCTCTACCCCGCTTTGTGACTCCGTTTCTGGATAAAGAAATGTACTCCGTCACAAAATCGGCAAAAATGTCGTCAGGACATAAAAATAGCCAATAAGAAGCCGATCTCCAGACTGGAACAATCAAAGTACCAAATGCCCCTTCCGATCTCATTTTGTTTAAAGCTTTGCAAACGAGCCGGGGAGGGGACACTAACCAGTTGTTATCCTTACTCCAGGAAACGGTAAAGGCGTCAATAGCCTCTGTACCCGAACACCACCACCGGGAATTGAAACGCTTACACTTAGTGTTGTAATCTGAAGCGAACCGATCGACCTCGTGTGGCCCCCCACTTGGTCTCGCAAATATCAAACACCCATGCCTGAACGGACCAGTCGTCCGAATCGTAACATCTACTGAGAAAATCTGCTGTTGTATTTTCGTTTCTAGGAAGCCATAGGGTTTCAAGATTGACGCTATTAGAGAACGTGAGCGCGTGCATATCCATAGCGACCTTTTGTAGGTGTGTTTTACCGCTACCGACCTTCGCAATAGCACACGCGATCTTGTTGTCCATTAACAATTTGACATTGTGACCTTTGACCTGACCTACAGTACTATACAGAACTCGTTTGGCCGCTTCCAATTCTCTCCACGTGGAGCTGCGCATGCGCTCGGAATCGTCCCACGTTCCCATAACGACATGACTACTAACGAAATTACTGGCTTCTCTAGCCCCACCTACCGTTTCGTGTCCGCCAATACCATCGTCTTAATACAGCACTAAACGATGACCTTGACATCGCACGTGCTTTACAACCTGTCGGCGGTAGAGATACCGAACGGAAGAACATTGAACACAAAAGAACGTGTAACTCCGCCTATTTCAAGCTCGAAACCTAAAATATCTCTGTGCTCTGGATAAATTTCAATGTGATGATAAGCCGACTTTAAATCGAAAGTGAACATGAAGTCACCTTGATGAAACATTTCTCGAGCGATTTGAATTTGAACTTATGCAAGAATAGATTGATATGACGACAATCTAACACGAGACGTGCTTTACTTGCACGGTTGTACGCAACTGTCAGAGGTTTTACAACACGTGGCCGACCTTTGACCTCGGACACACCGTCTATACGAAGCAATTTCTTGACATCTGCATAAACAAACTGCATATTGTCACGCGCTGACTTGTTGTTTCGCAAACGAACATTCGGCGGAACTTCTTTGAATGGTAACTTATAACCATCGGCTATTACCGATAAAACCGCGTCATTAGTGCCAGAAGCTTTCCAATATACAAAACATTTCTTTAACCTACCAAAAGGTGAAAGCACATCTTTTACAACCACCGTCGGAACGGTTTCATCGCTATTAAGCTGACCATGCTTAGAATCAAAAATTCTACTTAGCTTTTGTACGGTGCTGGATCCCGCAGTTGACATGGCTAGACACTCCGACCTCCAATGTCCGGCCCGACCACATCCATAACACAAACCGGGCCTCGGGGTTCTAATAGCCATTTTATCCGGTTGACTGGTTGTTTCCGTCGGTGCTGGATAAACCCGTTGTTGTTGATATGGTGAGTACCGAGATCTCCATTTCGTTACAGATTTCTGCTTCGCAGCCCTTATTTTTCGATCGGCCCTGGAACGTGCTCTGTCCATTCTTTTTTCGTCGTCGGAATCTTCAGCAAGGGGATTGGACACATATTCTTCCACGGCTTTCCATCCGGATTCTGATGTGTCGGCCAATTTGATCAACTTTTGGCGGTAATTAATCATGTCCATACCTTCTACAATTAGTGTTTTTGTGGCCCGAGGGACATGGAGTGATGATTCTTCCGCCTCTTGCATCTTGGCAGTAACTTTCTGGTTAAACCTGAACTGGTCTTCACAACTTTTCTTGGAGAACTTGTGATTATCAGCATTCATAATGTCCTGGCGTATCTGGGCCCGTTGAGCGTTAGAAATGTCCACCTGTTTAGCGTGTATTTTAGCCTCCAATTCGACCAGCTTTTCGCTCATTAAAACACCTAAGCGGGAGACCATAGCCACCTGTGCCTCATCGACTGTAGACTTGATATGTCTGCTTAATTCGGGGTCCATTATTGAGAAAAAACAGAGCGAGAAGACTTTCTGTGTTCGCCCTGCTGAGATGGCAGCTAGAATGTGACCATACAGAACACGTATCCGGGTTCGTACCCGTATACCCGCATTCTCGCGCACGCGGAACGTGCGAAGCGATATGCATGCGATGTCGCTAAAGACAAATAATTCCCGCTATACTAACGAAACGCGGGAATATAAAATTCTATGATTTCGTCAATATTGATTCATGATAACAGGCATCTTTATGTATGAGACTTTATCTTAATAATAAAACTGTATATAGTGTACATTTTCACAAAACAGAGGATTGTGCGATCTCGCAATGTTCCCAATGAAATGAATATTTGAATCATGTTTGGAATGGTTCTGGTCTGAATCATATGCACTGAGATAAAACATACCTTCAAACACAGAGACAAAAGATAATGATCGGACTGAGAAAACACAACTTTTTAAAACGTTATCAAGTCAGGAAATCGTATTTTCATGTTTAAATGATGTCATGTTCATAAAAGAAGAACAAGATAATGCCAGGGAAACAATAAGGGATGCTACATAACATTGGAAAGAACATTTTCCCTACTCAATAGATAACCGCATACAAAGGAGCTAATACTGTATGACAAAAAGTATTGGTTAACAAGAATAGCACCGAATAAACTTGTCATCCTCGTCGACCATTTATGACCATATATGAAATATGTATGCCAACATTTTGATATATCCGGCTAGTTTAATTAGTTCCACAATGCAGACCCTTATTTAAACATTAACGCCAATTGATGACTTGTAAACATACTTACAGGTCTTGGAGTCGAGTAAGACCATGCAGAGCCTTATATGACATTTCCATTAGAACGTTGCTGGTGAGCCGTCTACAACGACAATGTAACAAAACAAACTTAAAAACAGATCCGATTTCTCTGAAGTGCAGCCATATGTTAAGTCATCCCGTCAAAATGTATCAAAAGTTATAAAATAAATCACATCGTATATCGGTATCCTATCTGTATAAAAGCTTATTTTTATTTACAAAATCAGAAACTAATATTTTCATCTCAACACAATCGCAATTAAAATCTTACATAAAAAGTCTTGTTGGTTTTTGTGTTTTTAGTATAGTGGTTTGAATATTTACACTACATAATTTATAAAAAGGCTGGTAAGGTTAAGAGAGACAGCAGTATACCACTACCTTTTGACAATTTTTGGTAGAAAGCATGAGTATATCTATACTGATATGATCAAGATCGTTCAGATGTTTGACTAGGAATCGTGATGACGTTATCACATCTAACTCTAAAAGTCAAAAGGTTTAACAAAGAGATTAGATATGGCATATGACAGGAGAAATAAAATTTCTCACAATTACCTCGTCACATTTTTACAAGGAATCATTCCCAAAGCGAAATCCAAATATGAATGTTATGTAATCGTATATGGGATGAAGATAAAATTGACGAAACACTAAATGTTTATAAGGGTGCTTTTAAAGCGAGAAATGTACATTTAACCAGGCCTATGTTATGTGGGTTTATTTAATGTATCTTTGAAATATTGCACCAGAGAAAATTCATTTCCAGCTTTCTGTTTAGTCTTCAAGTTTTATATCTTTGATATTCGACAAAGTACTTTTTAAAGAACCATAGCTGTATTGAATATGTGAAATACAGGGTAACATACAGTCAAGCATAAATTTGAATGTAACAAACCAATTATTCCTTTTTATTTCCTTATACTTACAATGTTTGAAGGTGCTGGTATCTTGCAAAGGCATAATCAGGGATAGTGGAAATGTTGTTCATCATCAAGTCCCTGGAAATATATATATATGTAACGATAAAAATGAAATATTTCTTGTTGAATACCTGGCAAGACAATATAATAATAGCATGTTTTTGCTCTACAAATAATTCAGTATAATATTCTATCATTTGGTTTTGTTTTGTTCTATGTGAACACATTAAAATTAATAATTGATATATTTGAATATATATGTTTATAGGGTACGATTGTCTATGGAGAAAAAATATTAATCTTACAGTGTTTTATGGACTTTTTATTTTTTGTTTTCAATTTAATTGGTGCTTAAACGCCATTGCATCCTTTAAATTTGCATATTTCGAATTCCAAAAATACTTGTGTTGTACCGCTTCACTTTGATATTGATAGTAATTATAACATGATAAAGAGGAAGGATATTGGTTTTAACACATTTTGTTCTGCCTGGCTAGCAGTTATCGAGATATCGAGCTTTGAAGCTTGATGTTCTAATAAGTCTGTGTATGTCAAATGATCAAATCTATTTAGCAGTAGATAGAAGTGGTAACTCTTTGATTCGATGTTGGATATACGAGAAATATTCGTAACTGCTATTGCAGTAATAGTGTCAGATAAACTAGAAATAGTCAAAAAATAGTTTCTTTAAAGAATATTTTTTGCAAAAACTGCATCTTCAAAAATCACATAAAATTTCTGTAAAATTAATGTGAAATTTTTGGTTGAATATTTCTTAAATGTCAGCATTTTTTGGTGGTAAAAGTCAGCCAGTTTACTGTGAAGCATTAAGTTAGATATCAGTTGCTTTAGTCTTCGCCATCCATTTGAATATTTTGGTGTTACCTAATTTAGAACATTTGGTCTTGTATAAAGGACGCAGAATTAGATAACAAAAAAAATTCAACTTGTTTTACCTTCTCCCACTCTTCCTGATTTTAAAATAAATGCACAGTCAACCATAAAAACAAGGGCAGCGATAATCGCTGAACAGGTTGCAAACATCTCATATCATTTTCGAGGATGTTCGAAACATCAACACGTCCTCTTATTGCGTATTTCAGTAAATCTTGGCAAGTCTGTCCCAGCCTGTTAATTAGATATTTATCATCGTTCAAATATGACGGGCAAGGTATACTACCTCTTGTTAACACACCGTATGTTACAAGGTTATATTTTATTTGGTTACTAGTGCTTAAGAAAATGATATCAGAGATTGCCAGTTTACTACCTCGGTCAGGATATTCATGTGGCCAGGATCTGCCGGCTGCCTTACGTAGGCCTCGAACCAGCGACTAAGAAATGGAGGCTAGCGCTAATGACGTTCAGAGGCCTTAGCGACTCGGTCAACGAGGCGCCTAAAAGAGGAACGAGTCAATTTTATGTTCCTGTATGAGCATTTGAAACAGATTACTGAAAGAAATTACCCTTTAATTGGTAATTACTGCATGAAGCACCACAAATAAATTTAATTCGCGTAATAAACAAAACTCGAGGAAAATGTTTCAAATGCTGATGCGTTTAGAATGTAACCTGATGAAGAGGCACTCTAACAGCAAAACACACAGATGGTAAACTGGAGTTTGCCCTATCAATATGTAGGTAATTCACTGTATGGTTTTAAAGCCTATTATTCGTGACATTTTGAAGCTTCAATTATCTTAATCCTAGAAAGCTATCTTGTATAAGTTTCCAAGTAATGGATGAGATTGCACACAGGAACCTATGCAAATTGATTTTCTTCATTCTGCGAAATTCATTCAAATATATATATATATCAAAGTTGAGGAAATCAGCCGACATATTAACATGGCTCGGAAAGGACTATATACATATACTAAACAGAAAAAGAAAGGTAACACTACTTTATTCTGTGATTAATTAATCAACCCCTTCATAAATCCTTACCAATCATGTACGAATAAAGTAATTGATCAATTCTGATAAAACTGCAGTCATGGTTCATTATAAAACTTTGCGTTCAGTTGATTTTATTCGACTGTAAAGGACGTTAGGGTCAATTTCAAAGGTAACACCATTAGTAACGGGTATGGCCACCGTTTGCGAAGTAAACAGCATTGCAGCGTCGTCGCATGGAACTCGTAAACCGGCAGATAATTCGAGGAGAGATGTTGTTCCATTCAGCGATCAAGGCTTGGGCCAGCTCCTGCAAGTTTGACAGCTGATTTTGACGTTCTATCACGCGTCGCCCAAGAACGTCCCAGACATGCTCAATCGGTGACAAATCAGATGGTTTAGATGGCCAATCTAACACCTGTACGTTATTCTGCTGCAAGAAAGTTCTGCTGAGGCGACTGGTGTGCGCTAGTGCATAATCCTGTTGAAAAATGGCGCCAACGCCATGGCGTCTTATGAATGGAAGAACCACTGGTCTTAAAATTTCGTCCCGATATCGGATGCCGGTTAAATTACCATTTAACACAACAAGCCTGGTACGAGTCCCCCACAAATACCACCCCAAACCATTACACTTCCGCCGCCAAAGCGGTCCCGTTCTGCGACGCAGCAGTTCTCAAAACGCTCCCCTCGTCGCCTCCCAACTCTGCGCCTTCCGTCACCGTGTTGCAGACAAAACCTGGACTCATCTGAAAACAGTACATTGTTCCATTGTCGTAAGGCCAAACGACGGTGAATACGGGTCCAGTTACGGCGATTATTACGGTGACGTCGCAACAAATTGGGTCCAGTGTAGGGACGCCGCGCTTTCAATTGGTAGGCCCTCCACCGGTTGCGGACTGTTTGGGGAGACACACGACGCCAAAACAATGTCCTTGTAGTCTCTACTGCGGTTACGAATCGATTGCGTAAGTGTATCAATCATATACAACGGTTATCCCTGGCGGTCGTTTTACGGGGTCGGCCGCTTCGGGGACGATCGGATGTTGACCCAGTTTGGTTTAACCGACTTACCAACTGGCAAATTGTCTTAACACTGCAACCAAAATGCCGTGCAACTCGACGGCGAGACTCCCCAGCCTGGATCATGCCTACAGCCCTTTCTCTCTGTACTTGTGACAGCCAGGGCATAATGATAAAGTTGATAGATAGCAAGATTCGGTGATTTCTAAGTCATAAGGATCTACGGAACAGTTGTCAGTTTGAATGTTTATGAAATTAAAGCGAAGATACAAGTTAATCGCAGAAAACCTCGTGCAGCTCTTTCGCTAATACAGACTTTCACGCTTGAATGATTTTGGTAACCCCCTTGGATTTTGTAATGTAAAACATTACCATTTTCTAATATTGCCCAAACGTCATTTTGTTTTCACTCATTTACAGGTATTCGCCAAGGAAACATGTTAACTTTTCTTTTTTGTTGAGTAAATATTAATTCTTCGCATTATTCACTTTAAACATATTATTTGTATTGTCAGTTAATAGGAAAGTTGAATTATGATCGTGCTTCAGACATTCTGAACGCATGTGTTTACATGACAACCATCACGATTTCAATTTCCTTTTCTTGTTCTGTTTAAAATCAATGCTATCAAAATAAAATTATCAGAAATTCGAAAATATTCTCCATTTGATTTCTCTTTATGAAATAAAATATATGTGGTTGTCTATCAGTTTTTTTCTTTGTTGTCGCTCGCCACGATAACTCGAACCTAGCCGAAGATACCAATGAACTGCTTGAGTTCTTGTCCAGTTGTCAAAGAATTTCAACTTTTTGAAATAAGAGATCAACAAATATATGAACATTACGATTTTTTAAAAAAACATTATGAGGCTATTGTTTCTCCCCGTCTAGATTTTTGGTTTTCCTTCGATCACTTGCTGTTCTTCGTCGGTCGCCTTCTAGGCCATAAGATTCACTCACGAGTCCAAGAAGGACGAAACAGATGTATGATGCGGTTTAATACATTCTGTGGTTTTTCCGTATCAAACTCTAAAGTTATAGTAAGATATGTCATTCACTTATGTGTCTTTTGTTCAATCTTTGAACATTACGACAACAACATTATTCCTAGGTCACCTTTCACTTTCATAAAATCAGTTAATATGTCACAGGTTTTGATACTGTGTTGTAAAAGAACGCGACGTCTTACAGATCTACAATAGGATTGTGTTATCTGCAAAACACATTGAGAGATATCGACATCAGTTAATAGTGTCTTGTGTGTGATAAATAAAACAGTGTGTTTTCTATCGTAAATAACGAACTCTTATGCAACTTAACGAGCACAACTCTGGTCTTTATCTCGACGTGCATACCAACAACCAGGAGAATATTGGTGTCGTAAGTAACAAAATCACCAACTTCATTAGATACCTCAGCGGAGAATGTTTTGTTCCTCTCGGGAAAAATAACATTCATTGAATAGGTTTTCTTATGAGACGTATAGTATAGAAGGATGAGCGCTAGGCCCAGTATGTAATCTCTGGCCTTAGTTTTCGTAATATTCACCGAGTCGTGAATTCATCGATGTTTCCTCTCCATTCACGTCTATGCTGTGGTAAGTATGCACACTGATCGACCTGATCAACATAATTTTGTCGGACAGTGACAAATGAATATGATTTTCGTTTCCAAAATAATTTAAGCGATGTATCCCAAAACTAACATATGTATTGAAAATTACTCAGCTTTTTAAAGTCGTCATCTATATAATGATGCTTTTCTTCATATTTCGGACTGAAAGGGCATGTGATATAGGGTGGTGTTGCAGATGTGAACAGATAATATGTTTCTTTTTTGAAGGTAACAAAAGTTAATACAATCAATTTCAAATTGTCAATCTTTCTACTACTGATAAAAAATGATATATAAACATGTTCAATCGACGTTCGAATAAATACAGGTTATTATCTCTTGCTTTTTATTCAAATTTTGCCTCGGTGACTACCGCGTCCGTTATCCACTTACCGCTTAATTATCATGGCTACAAATGTTTTTTTGTCATCACGGTAGATAACTCTTCTGTGCGAGGAGTTCTTAACAAGTAGTGCTTCCAGATCGCTGTTCGGTTTCACCTAAATTACAAATCACCACACCTTAAACTCTTACTTACTTTCCC